TAAATGTCGTGATTGAGTACAAAAAACCTCATAGCTCTCTGATGCCGTTATCCTAACTAAGAAGCCTGCCATCAATATCTTTATCAATAGAATATTTTTGCAAAACGACATCATTTGATATATGCCAAGACTATCTCATGTCAACAGCAACTGAATCATCGATTCAGTTTGTACGTGCTAAGAAAGACAAACGATTGGTGCGGTGCCTTTGCAATATTGCCAGAATAAAACGGTATGTTGGAAGCTCTATTATATAAAAGCACGTAAATACATCAGGCTTCGTAATGGGGATATCACTAAGACTGGGGTGTCACTAATTCAACCAGTCATTACCGGAGATGTCAACGAGGCGTGTATTGAGTGTAATATATGTTAGCTATAGGATGGCCCATCAAGCGCGTTCGATGCAGTTTTGTATAAGACGTAAATGCATGCATTGTGGACGATGTTGATGTCACTCTATTCAAGTTTTGATCGTATTTATGACTTTTTTTTATTATTCCACTCTTACTTACTTAGCTCGGGTTGGAAAACTGACGTGCGACGGACCAGGATCCAATAGAACCACCACACTTTACTGTTATCTGCAAGATAGATCTATAAGAACTGACATTTTCACTGAGATAGAGCGAATTAACATTAAATAAGATGAACAAAAAGACCATTCGGTTATAGTTTCATTAAGCCCAAAAAGACGTATATTACAAAGAATACTTTGATGATTGAATCTCTTGGTAATTGGCTAGGTTAATCTTATGCATATCCTTTGTCCTTTTCGTTTTAGCACTTTAACACGGAACCAACCAGGTGACTAGTATGGCCTGAAAAGTTCGCAGCGTTTTGTGAATGCTTCGGGTGAAGCTTGTGAATTTATTCAGCAATGTACTTGAATAATTCTCATCGCAATGTTCTGCACATTATTGCGTACAGAGGTAAATAAAGTAACAGATATGTGATTGCTTATCACTTCGGAACACAACGTCATATGGTAAAGATAGTGACCTGAATCAGTTTATGATAAAGCCGCATGAACGTAATAATGTGAGAACGAACACAATGAAAGCACCTAAACATTAAAACGAACGATTTATTTCAACACTGCAGATTATCTATAGCGTATCGCTGCTTATCGACAATTGGAAGCACCTTTACAGTGGGTGGCCAAGGTGATGGCATGTTGTTTCCATGGAGAGCAGCAGTTATTAACTACGACAATATTGCTATAAGATAATACGGTAACGATAAATTGCACTAACGAGACCATCATGACGCTAACAAAGTCACAAAAAGCAGTAAATTCTCGTCAGGACCGTTAGCCGTCTTGAGGGCGTCCCTCAGTTTATCAAGTAGCACCAACCACGTAAGGGGTAACGGCTACGGAAACGGTGTTACAATGTGTGTATTATTTAAGGTTGACTATTTATTGAGAAAATTGAGGCTACGGTGCAATCATTGCAAACTAAAACACGCCATGTTCATTGTGCGGTTGGGCTCCCGCGTGAAATTATCACGTTTGCAAAAATGCCCATTTGACATAATATTTACACACAGCATTTGTTCGCTTTGATAGGACACAAAAATTGTTATACTGCTACATCTGAGTACACTAAATTCATTGATTTTTGACAAGAATACAAAGTATACGAATACAAACACAAGAGGAAGTATTTGTGTAAATGCTTGAATTACGGAGCCAGGCTTTGAGGTACCTTCCTTCGGTTTTGTTTAACATCCACATAACATGACAGCGTATTTAGACATGGCTCCATTTTTAGAATCTTACAACGAACCTAGAGTGGAATTGTTCGACACTGAGTGAAGATTATAGAAGACAACAGTTTTATCTTTAAAATTTTAACAATTTCTATTTAACAATTTCTATTTAACTAATGATCGGCTAAACGAACTGTGCATCTTGAAAAAAGGATATTGCATATTTCGCGCATATTGAGTTCTAGCTTCTCGCCAGTTAGCGCCTTCAGAGTTTTGTTATGGATAATTGCTTAAAAAGTGCTAACTTTTTGAAAGCTAGCAAGACAGCGCATAAATGTATTCACAAAGCGACAGTAGAAGAAAATGGTCTGCAGTGCAAATAGGGGCTTACTGCCATAGAGCTGCTACAGCGTTTTAACCGCCACAGAAACTGCTTTATACCGAAGTCTTGAATATGAGGAACGCAAAACGAACTTTACTGAACCAACAACAGCAAAGAGTTCTGTTTTGTACGCGTGAACTACGTAAATTTGACCAATTATCTCCGAAAGCTATACGCTGCTATACGCTAACATTCGTCAAGAAGAGAAATTTGTAAAAGAAAAAGGATGGACAGTAATATAAACAAAGCTCTCAAGTTTTACATCCCGTACTGCGGTTTTGGATGGCTGTCCTGCGTCCGGTTTCGAACCTAAACCACAACCCAATGCTTCTCGTAGGCAAACACGTAACCGTTACTGTCACAGAAAAAATGCGAAAACACAATACCTTGATTTCTAGTCGTAAAAAATCCGGACACCAGGTGGTACTATTATACGATGTAGCCTGCAGATGTGCAGTATCTGAGGAGAACTCTACAATGGATACATAGTGTAAATGGAGTGAGCCAACCGAAACGAGGCACGCAGTCAGTAGATTACTATGTGTTGACGCCTGTTAGCGACGGATGTTAAACGGTACTGTTGTTTTTCCCCACGTGATTATGGCCGACCTCCACCGACAACATCTGATGTTTGTGTTTGTTTTATTGCGTCAAGTTTTTAGGGGGCGGAACTATTTATCACAGTAGGCGTTCCTACTTGCTATGAATGTCAACAGGCTAAAGAGAGAATATCCTTTATGCTGTTTCTATATGTCGAGTTTTACATTTGGTATTGCTGCTAGGCATTGCATCAGACGGTTAGCTCTCAGCACGGAACAGAGTCTGGCTATGCTCGCGTTCAAACCTAGACGACGATGTGTCCATAAAATTACCCACCATGCTATTACGAGGGTTTAATATAAGCCTTAATATAATGGGGGGGGGAGGGAGGGATCACTATGCGCAAACAATTATTATAATCACCAGAAACGGTTAAAATGTATGGGATTTTGATGTATAGTAACGATTACGAAACAAATGACTGAACTCTATAAACTTTTGAAGGGATGCGGTAGCACTGGCCTGTAGCTAAATGGCACAAACCAACCCGCTCTGTAGTGGTAACAGTTATTTAGCATTAAAAACACTTACAGCTTTAGAGAAATCAGTAAATGTATGCAAAATGGATTTAAGAGCACTTAGAAGGTTTTCCATTTTGTCGTTACTATTTTCTTTTCGGGTATCTTAATGAACTGGGCGAACTCATCCTTCAAAGCCATGAGGGGAAATGTCTGTTGGACAAGGATGGCGTGTGACGTGGCAGTTAAACACGCAGCACTAACTTCTACCACGAAATGGATTAGAGTGTTCATCTCCTGCCCGATATTGTTGACTATGGACAGAACAGTCGACTTTTTGCCTGTTGGCGTTACAGGACTCGCGACGACGCTAAAAGAGCTGGCGAAAATGCAATAGAGCACCGCCGTGCAAACAAGGCTTACTCAATTTATTAAAACACTTTATTCCGTACGCTAACAAAGATACCTCGATTGGGGTTTGCCATACTGTAGGCAAATCACAAGTGAGGCCCATATTGATGCTAAAAGTTTATCTTGGATTTGCTTCATTAACTCAGATCTTTCTGCATAAAAAAAACACCAAAATACCTGGTACGCAATGATATCACGCCACGAAGAGAACGTACCTCCTCATCGTCCGCGTGGAATCGGGATAAGATTGATAATCATTTGCATATGCGTAATAATAAACCACGCAATGGTCAAACAATCATGATTTCGCATTTCGTACACCGTACAGGTTAAAAGTGCACGTTCAGTTGACGGAAACGGTGGGTATTGCTAGGTTTGTAATTATTGCTCTGCGTTTGAGCATAGACATGGTTCTCTGTGCAACGCGTCTTAACCACATAGAATTTGTCTACGGATTAATTTCCTGCGTGCATTTTTTAAGTAACCGCGTGTGCAATTCAAACTGTAGCATATCTGGTCTACCTGATTTCCAAGCTACAGGTCTGCGGTAGTCGCTCGTTATCTCTTTTATTGAACGGGTAAAACATCATATTAATGCAATGAACCACGACCCAAATACAATGGCTTAATTTATCGATGTTAAATCCTTCTTCTAATTATCATTAAATGTTGTACACCGACGATATCAGTGAAAGCAACATACATTAGCGTGGCCTGGAAAGACACCCCGCGACAGTACTTAAAATACTAGATGAACGCAACTTGAAATTTATATTTGTTTATTTTTAGCCATCAAGTATTATAGCACATCTTTTATACCTTGCTTGCATGTTTCATTTCAATTAATCATGTGGCCTAACAGTGATAGCATATGCACACGTTTAACAGAAGATTTAGCAGAAGAGTTATTAAGTTACACGGTAACGTCGCATAATAGAGCTATCGTCTCAACATCCGTCAAATTAAGTATTGCTAACTAAGCTGTCGTTCGGCCGAATATCGAATTGTCATTCATGGTAGTCTGGCTTCATTTGCCGTTTACCGTGTTATCGCATAAAATTGATAGTAGAAGCGACTGTCTTCTTAGGTCATCTCGACACGGACAAGACCGCTGGACGACGAATAGCAGGTAGGCTTTGATTACCTATTTGCATAGCCATCTATTCCCGATTTATCGTTGTGATTCCAGCTTATTGATAAGAAGGAGTGCGATTTTATGTTCAAATTTCGCTTTCTTCCTTTGCAGTGAATCGCAAACAAAGCTCTTTTTGTTTGCCTTCGAAACATGATGACCTTGTCGAGCTCGTAGCCAAACTGCATGCAATGGACGCTGCCTCGCCCACGTAGCTCCGCGACAATCCCGAGACGTCAGTTACCTCATAGAATGTGTTGCCCCCAGAGTAGTAAAAGTTCGGCAGAGAATCACTATTATCGCGTGCTGATCAGAAAATATATTCGATCTGTTACTACAAGGACCACTCAAGGTAGACGACACAATTGTTTACTGAGAAAAGATTGCGTACAACACTAGCGGCAACTTGACATTGACAGTTAGATTTATACATTGCACCTCCAACACCATCTGCGTGCCATATGAATGCTAGAACAAGGGTATCTCCGTATAGAGTGTGCAACAACAACAACAACAGTCAGTAATTGTTCCTAAAACTCTTTGGGCTATTCTCTGATGAATCATAGAAGCGGCTGAATTACACAGGTTATATCTCCATTATCCTGGATGTAGTCATAATAGTAGTACGCTTAGTAGCAGAGCTTTCAATATGTTTTCAACAAATGACAGAAGGTCTATTCGGGCTAGCTAAAAGAAGCGTTTACTTTCATTTAGTCAAAACACCGATTACGGGTAGGCGGACGAGCAATTAAACGCTCCAACAAGCAAAAATGACGTTACGGAATCTAAACAGACCGTGCCTAACTTTGCATCTGGCTGTGTGTGCGCATGTGCCCATTTGCAGCTTTATGTGAGCGTGTAACCCTCTGCGTTCGTCTGTGGAAAGCAAGCCACCCGCACAGATACTCTCACTACATGAACTTCGGCAGTCATCTATCTAGCCAGTCAATGGTGGATCGGTTGCTTAGATGGTCGGTCGATTGAGTGACCAGTTCGTGTGTCATTCGATGAGTCAAGGTGTCGCTCTGCACAAGCCACTGCGTTCGACCGCACATTGTCGAGGTATATTGATTATATCTATTTAGGGCTCAACGGATACAAGCGTGATTGGCCAGATCACTAACTGTCATCAAATTTGAATGCACTGCTGTTGTAGTATCAAATGATTATCTTCACCTGAACGATCCAGTGAGTGCGTCGAACAAAGAGGTTACATAGATAATAGTCGATCTTATCTATGGAACATAATTTTCGGATTGGACGGCAAAAAAGCGTACTAGTAGTATAATCTGCTCTAAAAGTATGTGGAAGACTACGAGCAATCGACCTACCTTAAAAGTGATAGCGGTCTGATCGAACAAGTCTATCTCCGTTTCGTTAGTCGACCGTTCGATAGAACAAAGGCGGGTTGTGTTGGACGGTGATGCAGCCTGGCTCTTGACGTGCTCTATCATTGAAGTCAATACTGCGCTCGCTAGATTTGTAAGCAACAGGTGCTTATTTTCGTGGTTAGTGAGGACAAAATCTAGCGTTTTTCGGTGTTGTGGTAGAGGTACGTGGCGGTGTATGATCGTCGTGTGAAATTAGCTGTGCAAGAGAAACTCAATTTGCACAGCCATCGTCGTACAGAGTGTGTGACGGTTAGTAGCGGAAACAGCTCGAGAAAACGTGAGATTTTCGCCGTCAGTAGGTTGATGCTTCAAAGCGACTATGGTCTTAGTCAATCAGACATCTGCAATGAGCTCGAGCTCATCTGCTCGCAGCTCGAATGTCAACGTTGTCGGGATCCTCCAGGATGACAACGTTGAAGAGGTACGAATCAACGACTGCGTAGCTTTCTTTCTATCTGTTTCTTTTTATTTCGGTTCATTTGTAATTTCACAGTATCAGTTGCTAGGTAAACATATTATACGTAAAATAAACCCTTCTTTATGTAATCACATCGATCTCTTAGCGACCGAGCTTGAACCAGCGATCCCTGCCTTACATATAAGCAATGCACAAAAACAAGATGAAATATTAGTATGACCTACAAACGTGATCTCGTGCCTATCTGGGTAGGTAGATATGTATAACCATGTAGGGACTGTATGCGCAAGTCGATGAATTGATGCCGCTATTTATTGTGGTTCTCTTCAGGCAAATTAATGAAGTAAGGTGAGGAAACTTTGAATTTTGGTTTAATTGGCTTATTGATGGTGGTCAATGGGAAAATTGACGTTATATGGTGTTTTTTGTTTACCGGATTTTATTAAAATCATTCGACGAGCAATTTATACTGTTCAAAGCGATTGAGTGTTGGAGTATTTCACGCAATCTATGGGATGGAAGCGATCAACCAGGAAGTCTGTTAAACCATAAGTCATATGCTGAGGGAAATACAAGAGGGTGCTATTTATACGATGATACGGATTGACTGAGTGAGTAGACAGCCGAATTTTCTAGTACTCTAACTGTATGTCTTAGATTTACCATAGGATATTTCGAATAAATGACACAGCAGCGAGTATAAAGTTAATACCATATCGCTGTGTCATTTACTTTGTTCTTCTTATTCATACGGCCAATGCTGGATTTTAAGGACACAGAGGGCGACTTGAAAATAATAATGCTATCACCTGGTAGATTCTTAAGCGACTAATCATGAACAATGCTCGATATAAACCAAGGTTTATAAGCCTGCAGAAGTTTCTCTAGTGGCACAATGATTATATGAATTCATGGTCTTTCGAAGCCCATCGTATGATTATAGACTTACTGTTTACTGTGAGATGGACTTATATAATCATATTTCAAATTAGCAATAACTTAATCGTTTCTGTGAAGCGTGTTCTACTCAGTCCTTTGAGAGATTACCTGTTTACTTATCATTATTTTTTTGAGTTGTCTGCATATTTATCGACGCACCTTTAAAAGTTTTTTTTTTTTATTTATACTATAAAAGCAAAGAGGTAAACCTGCAGTGGCTAAATTGCTGACAGAATTTCCAGCGAAAGTGTTCATAAGCATTGCATTATTTCATGTCTTAATATAAGAATATTCAAACGATAGCAAGGGAATCATAGCGCATATACGATACTGTGATTTTTATACATGTATAATGCAGACAAGATATATATTGCGTCAAAAACAAGTCTTGGTAAAAAAAATTGCACTTTTTATTCAATTATGCATCAAAAAAGGATGACAACAAAATTAGTTCTGCGCGCCTCAAGGAGCTTGTATCTTGGAGCGAAGGGATCATCAACTTTAATGACGTTTTATATTGGCAGCATTATGTATATTATGAAAATATTCAACGGACGAATGATTACATAAACATTTGGCTATATTCGAGTTCAATATAGGGGATAAACCTGAATAAGTGTAGCCACGTCATGTCATGTTAAGGCTATTTGTGTGAGGCAGGCACTGTAGCCCTACCAATTGTCGGGTATATGTCCCTTTGAAATAAAATTACCTACCCACTACCAAGTAACACAATTTTTATAAATCTCACTACTAATTAATACGTGGTGTTCGATTAGGACAGTTCTAGTTGACTCACAAAACCAATGCTGCACGAAAGATTTGTCCGCGGGTAATTCTAGTACTGGTAGGATAGCTGTGTGACTTCACGTTCTGAGCTCTGGCATTTTTACACACTTTTAGCCATATTTTGATCCATACCGCTCCCTGTAATAAAAAAAAAAAAGAAAAGCTGTTGTATTCGTGCAAACGAAATGCTGTACGTTACTGTAGTAAGTGTTCCCAATGTCCCTTCATGGCCAATGCAGCATCCTGGTATGCGCTCTTTGTAACTTCCATATTTCTAGGACAAAACTGCTGGCGTCAATGAACATTACAGCTGTTCAAAGCGATGCCATTATGTTGTACATCTAAATACAGTGCATCATAAAAGAGGTATTGTTATACAACGGTTTGCGAGATATTGTTTCTAGGTCAGATTCTAATTCCAGCGTAGTGGCCTTACACAGTGCCGCTTTCATTGCCATCAGGGTAAAAAGACAAGGATTAAACTGTTTATACAGGAGAGCCACTAGGCTATCAGGAGAATCAGTCAAGTGAATTACCAGTATATAAATAGCTTTAGGTAACTATTGGTCATATTTCTTCTGTACGACCTGCTCAGTATTTAAGCTAGGATTATGTCTTCGAAGCTGGCAGGTTTAGCAAGCAGGTTATTTTGACCTGGCGTGATAGCGGCAGGACAGATATTAATTGGATTACAGAAGCTAGAGAGCATTACGTCGTACAGTGCAATACTGCGCAGAGCAAACAACCATTAATTAACTTGCTTATTCATTAGTGACTCGTATTGGTGATTAGGTAGCGTGCTTGAGGCGCCGTTTCGGCTACCTAACTACTAGCATCATAATTTCCCTCATATGCTCGAAAATAATTTTGCTATTACATGTAGTACCGTCATTATCCTTCATGATGATAGGGCCTCATGAATGGCTTAAGAGAGTCACGTACTCTTCTCTTCCTAGTGGTGATTGAGTTCTATTACAGTTATCGTTGTCTCCATTGATTTGGCCGGATTTATATTGTAACGGTTGCTTGTAAATTACTTTCTTTGTATTATTCAAAGGACCGATGGAAGCGAGGGTTGTTGGTCGTGGAAGATTGGTACGAGTGTGACTGGAGAGTGAGTCTGAATTTAAACTAATCGGACAACATAAAAATTGAGCATAAAGAACCCATTAAGTTTAGACACGATCACTTACACGAATGTCTAGTGTTATAACTATTGCTTTGTGTGTAGATTCAGTATTTGGTTTAGAGATCTTGAGTAGCTTCTTTATATTATGGGTGCTGGTCTTTCATTGAACAACTAAAGTGACTGTAAAGATTAATTGAATTTGGAAATTGTACTTTAAGGACAACTGTTTACATTGCGAATTACCGTGTGTGGCTTTATGAGGTAAAAATGGATGACGTTGTTGGTAGACATAGTTGGCACTGGGAGGTTCATCTGCTAGTTATGTGAGCCTTTAAAGATTGCCTTTCGGTCCAAACTTGTGCCGGCGAAATTTACGCAGTACCGCGGCATACGATCATAAAACCCTTGTTGGGTATTCACATGTTGGCTCCCAGCCATTAATCCTAACTAAGATACTAGAAGCAGGCTGTTAGCTAGTTTCAGTCGACCGTATGCACATTTATGGTACTTGTTTAATAAATAAGCTCGAGCAGTGCATACAGGCAGAACTTATTTCTAAGACTGTACGGAGGTTATATTTTGAGTTACTATTTATAAACGCTTAACATAGTACTTTTATTCAGTTTAGTAGCACGGTCAGTAATTATTTTTGTTATCTATTTATTTATTTTGTTTCACTTATTATTAATATTTTTATTTGTCATTAATTATTATTATGTAAGTAAGTATGACAATCTGGTTGTCTTTTAATATTCTAATTTCAGATATATTTAGAAGTATCTGTGATAAATCCAATTACCCGAAAGGAGGGCGATGGCGAGTTGGTCACAACCTACGCCATTTATATTGAGGTACGTTAGCGTCTATATTGACAATGATTAATAATATTTAAGTGGATTATACGGTTAAATATTCTTTGCAATTAACTTCGTCTTTTTTGCTTCATACGAAAGTCCAACCAGAAACTTTTAAATTTTTGCAAAAACCTAATCTTAATTTGTCTTTGTGCGCATCTGAAAGCCATCACAAAGGCATCATGCATATATTGAGTTTTCTTCTATACGAATTTCTCTGGTTGCTTTCAGACCAATGATTCGGCTTTTACAATGTCGAGATCGATGGTACGTCGGCGCTACTCCGAATTCGTGGTTCTTCGGTCCATCCTTCAGGAGCAACATCCTTCTCTCACCGTTCCCCGCCTACCCGGGAGGACACTCCTGGGAAAGCGATTCGATCAGCGTTTTATACAAGAGAGGTGTGACAGTGTATAAATGTCTTTACTGTGTCATTATACTATCGTATGAACGCCTGAAGTAGGGCTTGGTTATCAGTTAGCTAACGCGAATATTTTGTAATACCATGCTAGGTTGTATGAATTGTTTTTTATAAATAGCTGCCCATAACAAGCTACTGTACTTATATTATATCTAGTTTATCTAAAACGAATCAATTATGTCTGTCCGGTTTTTTTGTTTCAACAAAATCATTGCGCTTCTGTGACATGCTTTCGTATTATTTTGCAGATGTAGTGGTTTGCAGTCATTTCTGAAGGCGATTGTCGAACAGCCCGTGTACTTATCAAACAAGAGCCTTCACCTGTTTTTGCAGACGTCGCTAACGATGGAGCAGATACAAAATGTTGTGAACGGCTGTGAGTCCTTTGAGCTGCCGCACAACAACTCGTCGCCGTTTGTACTTTATCCTGTCGACAGTAAAACGCCCAGTCAAGGAGGTCGTGTCGGGATTCTCAAGCGGGAGGCCTGCTCATCGCTAGCTTCCTGTCCTGAACATGAATGTCAGGCCCAGGGTAAACATCAACATATGCGGGTGGGATCAGGCATTGTGGTTTGCCCGTACGCAAGCGTGGATCAAGCCGGCACCCCGACCGTCCGGACTATGGCCGGCAGTGCTCCGTTCAATATACCAGCAGGATCGCCGAAACCTTTAGCTGTGAGTGCTTTGCGCAGTTGTGCTAGTGATACATGCCTCGATGGAACAGCCACAGGAACAAGTTCTCTTGCCGGAAGCAAGAAACGAGTGTCCTTCTTCATTGAAAACAAAAACAGGCAATCGCTGCTCCGACGATGCGATGGGAATCACAAGGACACCGGTACGGAGGCCAGAACTGCAGCAGGCCGACCACAAAGTGAACAACAACCATGCCAGAACGGAAAGAGTTGGACTCCTGCCATTAGCATTCTAACTGAGCAATCTCGACAGGATAGTGATATCAGACAAGACCATAACAGACCGGACTATGGACGGACTGCACTCGATAATGAACCAAAGGACGAGCCTGTCGTGACAAGTGACAGTGAAGAAACTGAAAACAACAATGCTCTTAGCGACACAACCCTTAAGGTTGTGGCTTCGGATGCGTGCAGTGACAATAGTAACTGCGAAACCTGTATACAGATCGTGGCCACTGGTGTAATGGAAAACGTAACAGGCGTCGCCGATATCGCGCTCGATGTTGCGCCTGCATCGGTCACAGTACAAAATATCGTGGGTTGATCTGAAGATTGTCGACGGTAAAAGTGTACAATTGTAGGTAAGCATTGCATGCGAAAAAACACAGCTGCATTCCTTTGCGGAAGCCCCGAAGAAATAACGTTGTAATAATAACGTCAATATATAAACCATATCAAAGTTCAGTTGAAAAGTTAATTAAGAACATAAGGTATCAAGGTCACCCACTCTTTGTCAATACTATATATACATAAAACATAGATACAGTATGTCGAATAATACGACTGTGTAGTAGATACGATGGCATGAGTGTAGTGACTGTATATAAACTTGTATGATTAGTGTGCATGCGAGTCAATATGACTGCAAACTAGGTAGAAGCTCATATATATATATATTATATTATATATTATATATATATATTAGAATAACAATGAATTCTGTCAAGAGGAAGACTGTACGAGTTGGCGTTTACGATAAATAAAAACACGATCTTATTATAATACACACGTATAGTGTTTTTGTCTCATCTATTATTTGAGTTTATTTACATTTCTGTCTGTCTGTCAACTAGATAAGTCACTTCCGTCTTCAAAAACTGCATATAACTCGATAGGTAATTAGGTCGACACGGAACTTACTCAAAAACCTCGGTGTTTTGTGTTTATTTAAAAGATTCCGAAGTGCCTATATTGCTATAGTAGAATATCATAGTACAGCGCAACAGTTCCACCCGACGTTTCACAGCTGGTGGGTACGAATACAAATCTAGTCGGATTAAGACGTTGCGCCTATAAATATTTTAATATATTAGTTGGTAGTGTCTCTAATCGTATGCGAACTTATTACGGTTGTTTACAGTGTCGCTCAACATTGTTGATCTTTTTGAGAAATCATCCCTTCGTTTCGATTTTCATACTGAGTTCATTGCTGTGGTGTGCTGATTTAGTATGTCCGCAGTTCGTGGTATATCAATAATCGTCTAAAGAATCCAGTTACAATAATTATTTGTACTTAAAAAAAAGTTAATAATTATTTAACTTTTTTTTCAAAGATTCAATCCACGTGAGTTGCTTCTTATGCGAGACAAATATATTTGTATTAACTTAGTCGTTGCAAGTCAAATAACTAAAACCCGTCCCGTTCGTAGAAGATCCACTTTTGTTGAAGTGACAAATTTGAGCCATGAGAATGAGCTAGATCGCATTCGCGATATTTCAATATTGTATACGGTACTAACGTTTAGGTAAACGCATATAAAATTGCGAACATTAAAAGATTACTTATACAGAACAGTCAGGAAGAAAACACAGTTCAGAAGAGTACCTAAACGACTCTAAAAGTCAATATATAAAGGTGCAGCCTATTATATATATAAATATATATAAGAAAGAGCGCTTCACCTATACGCAGGCATAGGGTCTATCTAAATAAAGAGACTATCTGAAAATAGCTAGGACCATCTGAAATTTAATTTAGCTAGTCGGGTCAATTAAGTACTGATCAGAAAGAATTCGAAGCAAGAGTCCGTACATAATTCAGTGTTCTATAAGGATTTATCGTTACGTTGAGTCTAGCGCACCCTTGGTCTTCCTATTCATTTATAATGGCAGTGGCGATCTTTTGACTACCTAATATAATACGTCAAAAAATCAGAAGTTTCTTAAATTGCTGCAAGTTCTTGAAGTTCGATTTTCCTTTCTGGATGTTCATCATTATAGTTACGCATTAATATACTTTGAGTTGCCACTTGTTACAGAGGTCAGGACTTCCAGACGCTGCGAGTAGCGTAAACAAACACTTGCTTCTCAAGATCGCCCAGCAGATCACTAGCACCGATACGGAAAAGATCGTTGTAAAGCCATTTTTCGCCAAGGATCGCGTTGGTCAAGAGTTGCCAATTAAGGGCATCCTTGGCGGTGTGTATGCCACCAGCTGGCTTAAAGCCCACCTGTAAAACGAAGTGTAACTTAAACTTAATTATATAGATTATATGGTGCTTTTAATAAACGAGTAAATCGTTGAGGTGAATCAGAATAACGCAAAATTTGTGTTACACATGGGTGGTGCTTCGACGGAACCATGATAGGAAAACCATTATTCACATAAAATTAAAATCACCTTTCCCTAATCAGTATTAGTGTTATACAATGAAAAATACATGAATTCTAACTTGTATATTTATAAGGACGGTATTTTTAAGCGAACCATAATACTGTAAAAACTATTCTTATAGACTGGGCATTCACGTATGTATCACATTCAAGTAATCACGTGTCGGTGTTCTACCTTTCTGTGGGTTTCCTGATAGAACTCCTCAATGGCTCTAAGCATTGTAAGACCTACAGGCAGATTCGCGTTTACGTTTTCCTTCCCAGTCGAAGTCTTAATAAAGTCCGCTCCGGCCATCATCGCTACGAGGGATGCTTTATACACATTCTGCAGCGAACCAAGTTCACCTAGAAAAAGGTACGGAAATTAACATGTACTTTACTCGCTGTAGTAACAGTTCACAGATTTGTGACTTTCATCCTGTCCACTGGGGCTATATGAAAAACCCAGGTCGAAGAATCTCTGAATTTTTTTTTACTAGAAACACACCCATTTGAGCAAAAGTACTGCCTGAAGGCCCTGAGGTGGTAAACCGTTATGGAGGCAATTGCTTTGAAGCCTAATTCGAGTCAGTAAATTTCCACAATGATGAAAGTAGTGAACTGTTGTTTTTGCCTCAAACTTGTTAATGTATTTTATACATGAAAAATGATGTAGTATAGTTGGTGAATTTACCAGTGGCAAGGATGGCTTTAAGGTTCGCCCGTTTACAGGCACGTTTCATATCCACAATTTCTTCATAGACTCGTTCCCAATCGTGTTGGAGTGCTGCTGCTCTATTTATGACTATGTCAATTTCAGAGGCTCCTTCTTCAACTGCATATTTGATCTCTTCTAAGCGACATGACAGGCTGTATTGTCCTACAATAAAATGCGGTTAAAATTGTATGAAGATAACCTTGTTTAGTAAGCAACAATTCTTTCTTGTCGTATGAAATACACTAGCAATTGTTTAACTGGCGCCTTTACGTCACAAAAAAATATCCATACTATATTTATTAGTCATGGCGGTATGGACATGGCTATGTCTAAAATCTTCCGTCTCACTCATCAGGCTAATGATGACTAATGACTGTAGGCTAGTACAAAGACAAAAGGTCAAAATATCGAATGAAAATGTGAATTCAAAGTATTGTAATATTGGTGTCATTGAAATTGTCAGTTGTGCTTGAACATGACATTAGGAAACACCAAGGGACACTCAAGCGTAGTAATTTTTCCAAGAACTGTTTTGGGCTAAGAAATAATTGGGCAAAAGGTTATTGCAAATTTGTCACAATCGTACCAGTAGGAAAGCCTGTGGCAACAGCTGCAACAGGCACAGCTGCACCTAGGTCTTTGAATGACTGCACACAATCAGCTACTCTAGCTGGGTAAACGCAGACTGCTCCAGTGGTTACCGATAGTCCTATGAAATCCGTGATCTCCTTACACAAGGGAGCCACCGCTTTTGAACACAACCTGTATATATATATATCACGTACATAACGAATAATTGAGATTTAGCAAAACGCATGGGAATTAACTCCGTTTTTCGCTTTTTTTTTTCATTGTCCGCAGTGCATACCGTAGATCGCGATCGCAACAAACTATTATATCATAAATTATTTTACACAGAAAGGACTTTCGTAATAGGGCAACAAGCCTCTAGTAGTCTTTTTTTTTTATTTAGACGACTATATATTAAACACACGTTTCAGTATATCCTCAAATAAATTCGGTAAAGGATAACGATAGCTAAATAATCCGGCTTAGGAGAAAATTCTGAATTTTTGAAAGCTTCCTCTACGTACTGTGATATAAGTAATGTATGTTGGGACGTTTTCCTGTACGCCTATTCGCTTCTCTTCTTACATTTGCTAATTAAAATAAAAAACTGTATATAACATTATATCTCTGTGTAAATTAATATGCCCTCCGGACATATACAAATAAAAATTATAGCCTATAACTAAAAACAGGTGTCGTTTGGCCTTAGATACAGCTCACCTGAATATCTTGGATGGAGTGTCATCGCCTGAGAGTGTCGTAAGGTCGATGCACGTAATGGCACGCAAATGCCAGGCTATTGCGTTTGCTTCTGTCACACAACGGCGACGTATAATATTTGCACATGTTTCCTTCACAGAGTATAAGTTCACCTGCGACGAGTTTACCCAGTCCAAATCCAGGGGTATTGCGGACGAATTCGGCATATTGGTTTATGTATGGTGACCTCTGTGAAGTGAACCAGAAAGTATCCATTTGTAATGTTATTGAGAAACGTTCTTCCTATTTTAGTACATGCATTATGTATGCAGATGCGAGATTTCTCCGCTGTCAATACAATTCGGTAGTGCGGTATAATTCGGTAGACATGTTTTTTTAAGTACGATTTTCCCCAAGCAAGGGGCAACTGGACTAGACGAAATTATGCTTTTCGGAAGTCGATTGGACATCTAGTAGGACATGGTATGATAGATTTTATTGCCCACAGAGAAGAACCACAAAAAATTTCAATCGGTTTTGGCACGATATCATTCATAAAATCCACCGCCAATAAATAAAACTATTCATTTTGACGGTATTAAAGTGCTCTGCGATGAAAATGATCTAGATAGTGCTGTAGGTCGCTAAAAGCCAAGACATTCATGATTGTCTACATGTCTGTATTATTGCAAACTGGCGGTTGTGGGCATCACCATTGATCAACACCAACAATATTATCAATAAACGGTACTAAATGAATCAGGTTCCGCGTAAGCATTGTAACGTTGGACACGAACGACGATTACAACATTTACTTTAGACCATACTGCGAAACGCTACACTGCGTTACAACGCTTTTGAAAGTCTGGCACACAGGCTTACACATACGCATATACACCACAAGTACAAAAATTCATTCTATCTACTTCCCGTGTCAATAATGTTAACTGCAACGTTACTTCATAACAAAAAACCTTTCAACCTGATCTACAGACTTTGACAGTACGTGGATTAGATTTGACAATAACAGTGCCGACTTTGTCCCTCGGCAAAGATTAGAAGTGTTCTGCTCTTGCTGTGTCAAACTTTGTACCATTTGTATCGAAATCTATGATCGACGCAGTCCACTGACAAGTTTATTATGTGTTCAGTACGTTGAAAATCACTCACAGTGACAACGAAGCCTTGTTCTCATACGTTTGTTTCACTATTCGAACGTTCGTTCGCAGACTCCTTCGGCTCTTTACTTTAGCATTCGTTAGCTGGATCCAAAGAATAACCAGTTCTATCAAGACGCGCAGATGGTAATCTCTTCTATAGGAATTATTCCTGCACTGTTTTGCGAAATCGCCCATCCAGAATGATTCCTCTCCTATGCAGCTATAAGCTAAAGTCTTCGCCCTGCATAGATACCATGTTATTGCCAAGACCTTGCTTTTTCGACGCATATACATGTAGTACATAAAACTAATTCTTATTGTTGTAATAGCGAGACGGTATACACGACTCTGTTTGGTCTATGAGTACTGTGGTTTCCACTTAACTACTACTATTTCCACTCTAATCCCGTAGCTAAATCCATCACGCGTGGTTAGATTTTGTTTCCCAAAATTCACGGGCGAAACATATTGCCGCGTAATTGCTCTCTCCGTTCTGCAGGCTTCTATGGTGGTCCACGATCACGTTGTGTTCCGATGCACAAACAGCTGAGAGCTTTAAATAGCGAAGATTCTTTCTATGATTGGCCAGAGTACAAGAAAAGATTAGAACGCAACATTTCTGCTGTGGTGTTGACTGTGCTTCAGAGCATTGTTGTAATTGGCCCGTAATCCTTTCGCTAAGTGCACCATCTGCACACCCTATGGATCCGTTTGGGATCGATAGCTGGTAAGAAAAGAAAAGGAAGTTTTATTCCATAGCGCAGTATGTTGATCTGGTGATACTGTAGTAGAGAAAATCTTTCCAAGAACATATAAATAGACCTGTTCATCAGGGCTTTGGGTATATATTAACCTTTATTGGATACGGAAAGATCCGGTTATGGACGGTAAGTAAAAACGAAGGTAATAAATATCAAGGCTGCCTCAACGTTCAGCAGGAAACAGAATGGACCGTGCTGTTCCAAACGCAATGGCCGTCATAGTCGGTGTATTGATAAACGCCCCATCGTTGTCGAACAAGCAATATGGGGTAGTCAATAAACAGCTTATTCACCTCCCTTGCGTCGTTAGAGAGAAACGCACCTTCGGTGTTGCTGTCCTTGCCGTAGCTCGAATAATCGCGATCTGCAATTCCTGTGCACTAACGGAGCATTAAATAGCTAACTGGGGGCCAAAAGTTTAGTGCCTAATCTCCTAAACTCTCATTGACGCAGTCTTAAAAATTCACAACTCATTATCATTGCGATGTGGTGCCATAGTATTTAATAAGACCGAAGCCACGAGGCGTGTGTATGTGTGCGTATCATACATGTAGATTACTGGCAAAAGGAAAATCACGGTGACATACTTTTACTGTCGGAAAAAGAGGTGTACCAAATATAGAAATTAGGCCGGGCAAGTCTAGGTTTCAACTACAACTATATATTAGACTGAGCTCTTATATTGTTCCCTCTTTATGCATAAAATAAGGTGTAATAGTACTGATTTGACGCACATACGGTATGATATCAAAAAGTAAATATGTTGATCCTAATTATCCATTTTATAATGTTTGTTTTTTAAGGATCTCATGAGAAACTTAACCCGTGGCAACATTTAAAAATGTTCCACGACAGTCTTACACACTAGAAAATCAATGGCTGCAGTTGATGTAGATTTGTGCAATGATTCGTAATTTTCGCTCATTTCTACCTGTACTGATAGCAGCGCGTTCATGCGCAGTTTCGACAAAAACTTGCTTACAAGTTAGATCTAGTTACATTTAGTTTTTTTTTTTCTAGTTCTTAAATTTCTGTCGTATAAAAGCATGAGATATGAATTCCATAGTACACACCTGTGTTTATAATTGCAGTAATAGTGTAATGTGAAAACTACCGTTGTAAATAGGCAAATTGTGTTTGTGGTGCTATGGCGTAAATTATTATGTGCCGGGCTGAAAAATTTTATGCTTACAGTGGATACTTCATAAAATAAGCTAACGTAAATTAAACATGTGGCGTGCAACGCTTTGTGGCTTAGACAGAAGACAACTAGAAGAACCAAAATAACAACACGAATCTCTTTGCAAAAAGGGTTTCCTCCTATTATTAATTGAAGACGAAATTACTTCAAGAACACCTGAGGCACTACCATCGTCCCTTCTCTGCTATACATTTTACATATGAGTGGCATCAGGTGTAGCCTTCTCAAGTCTTTTGATGTAGCTTCGCCGCTATTACTATATTTGCCGACATTATTATGGGAGACATAAACCAACCCATCTACATCGTGAGTTGTTGTGATGATGATAGAACAGCCTAAGGCACATGTAGTCCTGCACTCAGTTTAGCCAGGCTTGAACTTTATCGACGCAGCGTTGCCAACCGCTTGTTTTGTTTGTAGTATCTAGTTATGGCAAAGCAATGCTGTTTGCTTGGATATTTCGTACAAGTATTGTAATAAAGAGCAGATCACAGTAGTGCAGTGCTGATTTGGTTCGTTAAATTGAGAAAGCATGTCACGTTAAGTAAATACTTTGAAATACACCTATATACAAATATAACAGGAAATTACGAAAGCCACTTATAGAAGAATTTTACTTGAAGATTGGACATGGGAGTCAGCAAATAGCGAATAGCAAAAGCAGTAACCAAATCAGCATTGCAATATAATATTTTACCACTAACCCAAGTTTATGCTTTGTTCTCACCTTTGGTTTCTACAGAGGACATGACTAGCAGTATGTCGTATCGAGCGTTAGAGGGTGGCTATCAGGAGCTGCCCCACGGAGACGATGATGCGCCACCGCAGGTGCGTAAATGTTATCTTGTTGATCGGTATTCGCTTTGCGCGTGCTATAAAAAATCGTTGAAACCGTTTTGTTGAACTTTGCTTCGTTTTGAAAAAAATGTTTACCGATAGAAATGTGCTAAACAAGTTTGTTTATATTTGTTGGCTGTGTATTAGCCGGGCGCGTCACCGGGAGAAGGATTGGATCTACAACCAGACGTACACATCGCCGGCACAGAGGGCACGTCCGCCCATATACCCGATCTGGACAATTTTTTCCGCAAGATTTACGCCTACCATCAACGGCACGGATTCACGTGTATGCTGGTTCAGGACGTATTCGCTCTAGCGTACGTATAAATAAACCAGCGTCGACCACTATTTTTAAATATCCCCGCAGATGGGCTTCATAAGCGGGGCACGATGACGAACTTGGCCTAGTCTATCATTGGTTTAGCTAATATGATCCGTTTGATTGCTTACCAATAATACATATCATCACAACATCATCACATGTTATATCAAATAAATTACTCCGTTCAGCACTCAATTATTTGGTCATGTAATATAAAGTGTCCATACTTTAATATGGCCTAAGACATATGCGCTATATAAATAACTACTGAATGCTTTTTCCAAGACTATAATAATGATAACTGACTATAAACAAAATCAATAGCTCCATCAAACAATGTAGTAATGCTTATAATTTTTTTCATTTCATATCCCGATTTCAGTCAGCACGTGTTTTTGGTTGTATTTATCGTGTTCTTGTTTTCCTGCGTTGACTACCCAATTTTGTTTCGAGATAAACCTGTAGATGGCCGCAATACCACGGAACACGTTAAGGTGAAACTTAAAGATGGCATCATACCGCCTGGACAATGCATAGCCAGGTAAGTGAAGAAATCACGAAGTTTTGTTCAGTGCTAGATGAAAATTTGGCCGCGCTTTTAGTCGGATTTGTATTTTAGCTAGGCAAAAGCTAATTTATTTCATTTTCACCCACCTCGACTCTTACGTTACAGATCTCAAGGACAAAAGCAATGTATTATTTATCTTAATCTATATATGATTTATTTTGATTTCGCTTTATTGTTTCCTTGATACTACCACTATATGTCAAATATCTTACATGCAGTAGTGAGCTCATTGAAGGCGGTAAATATCCTCATTTTATGTAATGTCTGCAAATGTCTTCGCGGGTTTTCAGAGGACTTTAGCAAAAACGGCACGAATCGCCGTTATTTAAATGTTATCTCTGTTCATTCGTGGTGTCTTTTTCTATCAGGTTATCGCGCTCAGTGGGCTTCTTTTTTGTGATCTGGATCATCTACGTAATTTACAAGCTTGCCGTTCTTCTAAAAAACCTGTGCTCCAATTTGGAGATTAGGCGATTCTATTCAAAAGTTCTAAGAATACTACCGGTAAGTTTTTTCAACTTTTCATGAATAGCATCATGGTTCTCTCTTACTCCCTTTATCTTCCGGTCCCTCTCTCTTTCTTTACGCCTAACTCAAGCCAAAACGAAGGCCCGTCATGTACTTATTACATATACATAGCTAACAAAATATAATTGGCCTTACGATTCAAATCAGTCATTGCGTAAGATCAGATAGCTCTCCTGAAAGTGCGACCCCGCTTCTCCAAGTAAAAAGTAGCCCTCTGTACGGCTTAATTTATGAAGCGATGTCATTCGAGACCCTTGTTTCATTGGGTAGGCGTTTAAAGTCGAATTATATCTGTATATATATAAATACAATTAATGTAGCAGGTATGTTCTAGCAACGTTAGTTGAACTACAGTGGTAAACGTGTTCACTTGCTGTGAATTTAGGGTGAACTAGACAATATGACTTGGCACGATGTGCTGCAGCGATTACTAGAGGCTCAACGTCAAGGCGATTATCCCATTGCGGTCCACAAGCAGGAACTAAATGAGCTTGATGTCTATCACCGCATCCTGAGGCATGACAATTATTTGGTGGCGCTAGTGAACAAAAATGTTTTACCGCTGAGGTTCAACGTACCGTTCATAGGGACTGTTACATTCTTCAGTTCGGGCCTCAAATACAATATTCAAATGCTACTCTTCTGGGGACTGTGGTCCCCTTTCGAAAACAACTGGAACCTTAGAGATGATTACAGAAGACCGGAGAACACCCCCATTCTAGCTGACGAGTAAGTAGAAATCAGGGACTTATGAAAAAATGTCGAAAGCATAGCAGTAAAAAAGGAAAAGTAATCGAGAATTATCGTAATTCTTTAGACCATTATGTAGTTGGGAAAAGCATTAGGTAAGGTAAGGCGTCTGCTATAACTGTTCACGTTTAGGTACTTAGATATGTGTCATAAGAAATTTCCTTTACCCATATTGAGTAGTGAAATCTGATTGGATTTATGATGTTTTTCTTGTCGTCCCGGTTTGCAGAATGGCCCGAAGATTCCTGAGCGTTGGTCTGTTAAATCTTGTCTGTATGCCATTCATTTTCATTTACCATCTCTTTGAAACGGTGTTCAGCTATGCTGACATGGTGAAACGGGAGCCTGGTTTCCTTGGCGCTCGAACCTGGAGTGGATATTCGCGAGTTCACCTTCGACACTTCAATGAACTTGAGCACGAGCTCGATTCCCGCCTCTGCATGGGCTATAGGGCAGCGACGCAGTACATGAATGCATTTACAACTCATCTAACAGTCATACTGGCTAAGTATGTCTAATTTTTTATTGGAGATGTTTTTGATTTCTGTGTTAATTCTCCGAAGTCACTGTCCTTCTGATGTATATATATAGTTCTGTATTATGCAGTATTATACTTAGCATTATTCCATTATTAACCAGCGAGATAAAGAAAAAAGTTTTTCAGCAAATGATTCAGTCCAGATGATAGAAAAGGCATTTTTAGAAATGTATATGCCTGCGGCATCTGTTATTTTTTTCATTTTCATCTTCACAATGCAGGAATATCGTGTTTTTTGCGGCCTCTCCATGGGTTGTTCTTGTCGCCCTGACGATTTGGGACGAAGACTTTCTCGCAGTGGAGCACATTGTAACGGCCATTGCCATCCTGTCGATGATTCTCGCCATTTGCCGCTCAGCGATCCCTGATGAGGTATGATCTCGGTATCTTTAATTATTAATCCTTAATTGTTAAAGATGTTTAGTTTTGCTGTTAATTAGCATTAAAATCCAAAACTTGACATTTCGGAAGTCATTTAGTTATATCTGTCGTTTGTAGTCTTACCGTTCACAACGTAAATGAACTCAATTAGGGATGGAAGAATTAACTTTATATCAGTGGTCGTCGAAGGCTTAAGACCTTGCAAAAAAGTCAAACAACCCTTTACTTGCAGAACTTTTTACATTACTAACTGTTAAATGAAGGTATTGGCCGTCAAAGGCTAAAGACCTAGCAAAGAAGTAAAGCAACACTTTGTCCGCATGGAATGGATCACCTTTTATTAACATTTTCATATTAATTCAAGGTGGCTGGGAAAGTATTCAAGCGTAAGATCATTCACGACATACAAATTGGAAGTCGCACAGGTTCTGCATGTTGTCGACACAAGAATTGTCATTTTCCAGGGCTAACAAGGCCAAGCGGGATAGTGCCAGTCAATGTCTCCTTAACACACAACTATTGTTCGTATTTAAATATATACGTATTTGAATATACGTGTATGATTTCGTTAAGCATAACTGAAAAAAAGTATGAAATTTACTCCCTTATCCGAATAAAAAAAGTGCGAAAATAGGAACTCCTTTTAGAAAGTTCATACGAAAAGCATGCATTTTCTACATAGGTCTTTTGATATAGTGATTAAGTAGAGCTGCTACAGTTAAGAAGATAAGTCACAATTCACCGAACCATTACATAGAACTCTGAGACTCCTGCATAGCTACTTAGCCCATGCGCACAGTTTTGAAATGTCATGTTAGGGAAAGGAATTAAGGTTTTGTGTATGGTACACAATTGAGGCTACACAGATAGTCTGCCTTAACGTCTGTCGAATTTGTGTTTCCAATAACATAATCTTATGGGCACGATATCTATGATTTTGTTTTTTTTTAAATTTAGTACAATTTTCGTCTTTTTGTTATTGCTCGAATAAATTGCGATATGAATTTGTAATATATAATCTACGTCAGCGTCTTATATATTCTTGGTTTTTAATTTCACAGCATATGATATGGTGCCCAGAGCAGTTGATGAGAACTATTCTTTCGCATATACACTATATGCCCGATGAGTGGCAGTGTCACGCTCATACCACGGTTGTACGGGATGAATTCGGCAATCTCTTCACGTATAAGTTCACACATCTATTGAGTGAGGTACGTGTCCGTGGTTGTAACCTGTCTGCTTCTATTTTTTCGTGGGCCTAACTAACTACGTATACTGCATTCTTCATCACGAAAGTACCTAAACGTTTCCAGCACGAAAGTATCTAAATGCTTGCAACTTTTTGATTCTTCAGGTTCTTAGTGCAGTGGTAACTCCGTTGTTACTTCTGGGACCTTTCCGATCACGGAGTCGAGAAATCGTTTGTTTTTTTATTGAGAACTCCATCTCGATCGAAGGTGTCGGAGACGTTTGCACGTTCGCTCAAATGGACATCGAGAAGCATGGCAATCCACAGGTGCATGATTTTGTTGAACATTCGATGATGCTGTGTTCAGTTGTTAGAAATCACGGGCCCTGAGCTTCTTTAAAGTTTGTTAATAAATATTTATTACTGAATTGACCAACTTATGAATATAATTTGAAAAGAATTGTTCGGGAAGAAACTCAAGATAAATTTTTACGTGTGTGTCTGTGTGTAACCCGAATACTAACACAGTAGTGAATCTTTTTCTGTAAATATTTCTTGTCAGTGGACGAAAGCGGCCGAGCCAGCCGACGAGTCTACGACAGAAATTACTGCCCGAATCAGGGAACCACATCCTTCGAAGCAAGGCGAAATGGGCAAAACCGAGTTGTCCTTGGCACGCTTCCATTTGAGCAATCCTCATTGGAATCCTGACTCTCATATGGGTCAACGGTTCCTACAGGGGCTTAAGTCTCAGATCGATGCCACAGCACTTGGTCAGTACACGTCCTATTTGGCGACTCAACTACAGCCCTTCGATTCGACATCAACGATAACTGCGGGAGTCTTCCACGGACAGCCACAGGGCCAGCTGCTGTCTCAAAGTGTTCATAGCTATATGTCCATGAATCCAATGGTTTGTATCTATGCTGATTATATTGATATTGTTGTTTTTTTAACTCCTAAAGATGATGTTATTGGAAATCGTGAATGAATGGTACAAATGAAATGAAATGGTGAAATGGTATGGAAAAATAATGAAATGGTTAGAAAATCGTTCACTGGCTCCAGCCGGGTATTTGAAGATATACAGCTTGAGTGAACAAAGAAGATCCCTCCCTTACTCCCGCTTTCTTTAACTTGATCATTGTATGTCATTACGTTACAGATGTCACATGTTCGTTCTAACAAGATCGGAGACGTTCCTCTGGTTGGACCAGGCATCACCTCAGCACAAGGCCCACTCACGTCAATAACGTCATTAGAACAAAGATCTAGGAGCATTGAAAATTCAGCCATGACCTCACTGCTTCAAGGCAGCCTTGGCGGTTCTGTACCAGGCGGGCGGCAGCACGCATTGCTGAGTCCTATCCCGTCAGCTGAGCAAAGTTCTTTGTGTATGAGTGCTAGCGCGCTATTTCTTTACGAAAAACACCAGCCATCATCGGCGTCTCATGGGGCCATAGGCGGGTATGGCAGTCACGGTACGCCCCGACGGACGCCTTCACGACCGTTGGTATCGGGTCTCGCAAACATTCAGGAGAGCCGGTTAGAAACAACGCCTCTCCTCCTGCCACAGACCCAATCACAGCGGAGTGGAGCTAGCACTAGTAGCTACGCGTCCGGCTACAGATAGTTTCATAGTTGTATAGCCAGTTCATTACCTACGCTGCAAAACAACTGTTGTGAAAATATAGTGCGCTACTACTGCTGTAACAGTAAAGCTGGTTAACTCAGAGCTAACCGAGGTGACCAGTATACGAGGTAATTGTTACACGAGATTAAGGCCGAGAACGCATTGGCTACCTAAAAGCACCCGCGATCTCTATGTGCAATTAGCACGATATTGATTAAAAATACTAAATAGAGGCAAAATGTATTTTGGAAGAGAATGTACAATGTAGATGAAACGCTGTCAAAATCGTGGAAGTGGGAGAAAACCTTCGCGATAAGTAGCTTCAGTCGACCTGTACTTACTTTCAAATTGGCACAGGAGGAAACTCATGTGTTGCCCAGATAAAATACCCCCCATAAAAAACAGACAGACGGATCTGCACAAGTTAAGCAGGTCATTTTAATCTCAGTGTGATAAATTTTTTCCTGCTGTTATTTTCCTTTCAGTTAAAGCATATAAATCTGTAAATGTCACGCCTACACAAATAATATATAAGTAGTAACGTGTATTGCTGAAGTGAACTTAACTACTTTCCGCAGTAAAACGTTGCAGATCGTTAACTTGTTGATATCGTGCTTCTCGCACAATAAATCTAAAAAAAAAAAAGTTTGGTTCCGGAATTTTTCCCCTCGGCACTGTGTGGTAACAGAAGTGAGCATTTTCTACCTAGATTGAACTAAGACTTCTAGCAGACCCAATTCAATACGAATGTGGATGCATGTTTACTTGCATATTGAGTATATTCAGCTTTACTTCGACCTTCAGTTAGTTTTACCGAGGGATTTATTAACTATTTAAGGTAGATAGAAAACGCTTCCTTTTGGCGTCCGAACTTGTTACTTGCTCATTCATTTGACAATAGACAACGCTTCCTTTTGGCGTACGAATTTGTCACTTGCTCATTTATCAAACGAATGGCAATAGTAGTGGCTTATTGCAATGCAAAAGTCGCTGAAAGTATTCAAATGATCGATTTATTACATACACCTACACAAGCATATGGAGCGAAAACAAATTAAGCAGTCTTATGAATATTGATGAATATGTGTTGTATACATAAATCGAGAGAAACATTGAAATAACGATATTTTCGTATTTAGAGGTTAACTCGGCGTACTTGTAGTATATGTTGAAAATACCTATTATATTACGCAAGCAACGGGTTATACGAACGGATAAAACAAAACCACATATATGATGAACAATGTAGCAAGCTGCCGTGACGCACTGTTGATCAATGAAAATTCAAATCCACCCTTGTATAACATTCTGTATGCTTGATTGAGAGTACGGCTTGTAGCACATATATTGTTATTATTACAACTGCCACAACACTTTGCGAAACGACGTAGTTTCTATTAATATTTCAGTGCTAGCTAATCAAATAGATGCGGAAATGCAGTAAGCCGTGTGCATAAAGTAGGTGTGAATATAGTTCGTGTGGTGTGTGTATGGACGTAACGAATTACACGATATAATTCGTTTACTTAATCGATGAGTGATTTTAGCTACAAAGCACATGGCGATTTACTCATAACGGCAAAAATTTATGTAGTCGAAATGAAAAAATCAATGCTTAGATATAGATAAATTTATATGTATACATTTATACAAATCACAGAGAGCGCACACACCAACTCATCGTGCTATGTAGAAATCAACTATGAAAATGTAAATATATATATATGAATGCATACGGTAATTAGTGCAATTGTTTAGCTTTTTCTTATGTCTTGCGTACCTATATTAGACGTTGGTTATTCCGTAAAAACTTCGTAAAGAACCAGGGTCTCCGATGATTCCGATTGATTGTTTCATGGGAAATCAAAGATTACATCAGTAGAAGGTTGAGCAAAATAAAGGCCAAAAAACAGTGCTAAAAAATCTCCGGAGTATTTGGCGGCTAATACAGATAACATTGTGTTAATGACTTGAATATATTCTCTGATATTGTCCCCATGTTACTCAACACGTTCGTCTAAGTTCTTCTAAGTTAAGTGATGAATAATTACAAAACATCTTTAAACCTGTTTTGAACTAAATTAAGACGAAATAACCTTGTTCATCTCTATATCAAATTCTATATAATTCAGATCATCGGCTATTCCAAACAGTTAAATATCACATTTTAAACCATCGCAAGTACAATCTACTCGTGCCTTGTAGTGGATACTGCTAAGCATTTGCAAACAATATTCGAATAATGAACAACATCACACCTTTTACCGAAGTAGCAAATAAACGTTGCCGAAGATGGGTATGATTATTAATTTATATAATAAACAATATTTTACGACAAGTTACATATTGGAAAACTCAATTCATTATTGGATTATATTGAATAGTTCGGGGGTTATATGGGCCACCGCATCTCAAGCATCTGGGAAAATAGATGCGGTAAATACTAATTGTATAGAGAAGTTAGAAGGACGAAATGGTCTCAGAGTACAACTCAGCTTGGTTTGAATACGTCTGTGTATATAGGCAATTTCGTACTCGTTGTATCACCTGGCGTTGTTGTCCACAAAGTGTTACATGTGGTTGTTTTTTAAAGAAATCTTGGCGACTTCATCGACATAACTTATCGTTCGCATAATCCACCATTGTCGCACATGCACTACATTGTAGAAAATTATGACTACAGATTAGAATTTGTCATAGATCGGTGATAACAAACGAAAGACGTACGTACAAAAATTCACTAATTATACTTTACCAGTAACTAGTATAACCGCTGCTGCGTTTTAAATGTTTGAATGTGTGTAACCTTCTAACTCTCCTTATGACTGCCTGGATATCAAGATCCGCTATCGGGAGGAATATATTAGCCTACTCCATTGATTACTGCGCGAGGATATATTACTGTCCGTTGGATAATAATCTGAGGGCATAAGACCTACTGTAGCAGTTTAGAAAACGACTTCGTCCTCCAACCTCACTAAGATATCTTGCACACATTTGTCTTCGTCTGTTACGCACATTTAAGCTACAATCAAATTTGGTTGTTACTAAGTCCCAAGCTTGCCAAATGCTAGCTACCGTTTTAAAGCTACGACAGATGAGCCGGTTCCGAACAGCGCTAATGAACCTATCCCGAAATGTCAAAGCGCATGTAAGTGCTATGCATTCAACTTTTTACGCTCTGTCGGTCGAAAGAGGACCAAGAAAATAGAAATAAACAGGTTATGGATTTGAGACGCGAAACCGTCATTTCCTGATTCAAACATTTGCAATTTCATAAAGACAATAGGAAGAGCACCACCAGTCTTCCGAAAACTATGAAATACCTAGCGGTCTTTATCGACATGATATCCATAGCTTATAATTCCTATATAAATAATTATTACATATGAGTTATATATGTATATACATATAGACGTTAGTGGGTTATTGACTTCAATGGACTCTGCTTTCAGATTGCATTCACATATAAATGTTAATTAATATGATTAGCCATTCAGCTTCAGTTACACACATTGAAGAAACGTTTATTAAATAGATGTTACCCAAATACATTTGAAAAAATGCTATACGAGTATTGTATAACAATTAAATATCATCCGACTAAATTATCTGTCTGCCAGTAATTTGGTCTGTAATAAGACCTGTAAATATTTTCAATATGATGTTAATTATACCTATGATAACACAATGGACAACGTGATTGGATAAGAAGGACATATACGGTTTCAATCCGGGCGTAGACAGGCATCGTTTTGTGAGGAGAGCCAGCTGTGTAAATTAACAATTAAATGGTTAAGGTACCACATGATAACATGAGTAGGCCATGAATAACATTATCACATTAAATCATATACAATAGTGTAATGCACGAATTGTCTAGAATTGTAAGCAGTTATTGAATTAAATTCTTTAAGTGGCTAAATTTCTTCATGTTTGTATCTGGTACTAGCACTAAGCATGGCTTCAGACGGCTGACCCTTTCCATCACGCAACTATGTACGTCTCTGCGAAGATTCGAACTACCCCACGCATTCCTCACATTAGTAAACAGACACGTGATCATTCTCAAAAGTAACGAAAGCTAGCTTGTTCTCGACACTATTTTATATTTCTAATTCTAATTCGTAACTGAAATAAGGCCGCGCTTAAGGGGCTACATTTTAGGACGATTCTCAGTTCAATGAATGTCGCCGTACCTCTTTCACTCAAGGCTCATTTTCTGTGGCAAAGAACAATTTACAACTGAACCCTTTTTGCAATCTGTGGTACTTTAATACACTTTGAATTCAATATGGAAATACAAAATGTGTGTATTTATTTATGTGTACAATTGCAGTAAAATGATTTATTTCTCACTACAAAAAAGGAGAAATAAGAAATAGAAATACTCATCGCGCCACTTTCGGAGTTGTGCAGGGCGACGAGCTGATAACGGTATGATCACACAGACCAAGCTATGAGTTACCACGAAGTTGGTTTAGTAAATACAACATTAACTATGACCACAAAATACTAAACAAACATATCTACTGGGTTTCTCTCGAAGATGCTATCGCTTGGCGTTTTTTAATCAACCCTAACAAAAAAAGCTCTGTTTTTAAGAGACAAACATGGAACTCGTTTGCCTATTATATGGCACTCCAGCTAGCTTTTAACATCGTTGATTATTACGTCAGTGCGGGAAGATTTAAAATTCATAAAGCATTCATATTGTAAATCTGTACTTCTCTGGCCAAAAGTTCGAGTAATTGAAACGTATCAACCTAATTTTTTTATCTTACTCGTCAGGTAAATGTCTACAATTGCAACATTCAACAGAATCAGTAATATAAATGTATATATACGAACAAATAGCAAATTATCAATGAAATGATATTATACATGCGATCTTACTATTCGACATTTGTTTATGGAAGCTGCGCCCTATATATGTATATATAAATGCGGGAAAACATCAGCTTATAAGGGAGAAGTTTGCATCGAATATGTTTACAAAAAGCATATTCGGTGTTCCTACCAACGCACGCACCTTTACAATTGGGCGAATAAGATTCTTTCAGATTGAAGTTTACCACTTCGCTAATGATAAGCGTCTTTATTTTAATAAAGACGCTTATTATAAATCAATTCGCTGAAAAATATTCGAAGGAAATGAAAGAGACAAAACAAAAAGAAAGGCTTACCCATTACGCGACTGGTCCTGAAGAACATACTACAACAACATATATATATATATATCTAGCGTTCGTAAAATAAATTAACTGCTTAAGATTGATTGAAAATAAAACAACACTCATTATATTTACGGTTTTATTCCATAAGGCATTTACGATTTGAGCAGTCGAAGAATGTAAACGCGGTGGGAGGTTTGAACTTCGTCTGCTAGGAGTACAAACATTTATTTAAGCCCAATGCTCGACTGGCGCGTAAGTAGTGTTTGTAAATCTGCGAGAAACTGTGTTGTACAAAAGTGCCATTTATGACATTTCTACTTTATCACTCTTTTTCTCTTTTTTTTTTCAGTTGTTATTGCAAGAAAGCAGCCAAGAGTTTGTCTCATTCAAGATTAAGATTAGGTTAATGGTCGTAATGAAATTTAACTGAATCGGCAGGCTCTATGACATGCCGAAATCGTATGACGATCTCTAGCTTCTTTTTCTCACGTTTTGTTTGACATATTGAAGTGCGTCGCAAATATCAACTTGCGAAATTTAATAGCAGATTGGGGATATGCTATAATTTGATGTTTGGTGTACACGGTAGGCAGCTGTGAGAATAGCTGCTCTATATAGAATAACCGGTGAACTAAACGGTACGCTTTCCATCTACATATTATATATATGCATTAAATTATCGTCCTCATATTATGATGGAGTTCACCTGTAATGTATCCATGTTTCGTGTTTTTAATCAGAAAGACTGGATGTAGTACACTATGTTGTTAGCTGTACGATCCATTGAGCTGAATCGCTTTCTATTTTTGCTTTCGGTTAAGGAACATCTATTAATAAAGTACTCTATCCCATTTGCGATTTTGATATCACTAAATTTTGCGCGTAGTAATCACATAGTCAAATAGAGTACCGCTCATGATCAAGGAAGCTAAAATCATTCATAATCTAGTTTATTTTTCTATGTCCAGAAGTAACTATTCCAAGTGCAAATATATATCTACGCCTTTTCTGTAGCGTCTAAGATTTTTCAATAGAGACGTAGGTAGAAATCATGTTGTAGTTACATACTTTGACGGCCGACGGTGACCAGTTATTACTTAGATCTATCAAGATTCTAAAATGTATAAACATTTCATTATCGGTTCGCTAATGTTGATTAGCATACGACCACTGAGAACAAATAAAAAAGCGGAAAACTAAGCCTTCCCAGAAAAAGTGAAAAATCGCACAAAAAGGAAGAGAAAAGTGCCACGCATCCCGGTTGAATTACGAGTACACTGCTAACGTAGATCAATCGCTCAGCTGATTTGGTATCCTTTCGTACCAGTTTAGATTGTGATCTGAATATCTCTAAACCGAAAATGAGCGATATTTGGGCAACGGCAGCACAGTTACAGCGCAAGATTCTCGAACCTCGCACCGCTTCTGATCAGATGGCTGGAGTGCGAGGCATGTTAGTGCTGTGGGAGGCTCTATTCAGACAGGGAAGGTAAGCTTTGTGAAAAGCTGGAGCACGTTGTATTTTTATAAATACACTTAGCAGCGCTATATAATTGAGATCGATATTGGTCCCCAGCCACGCTGCGATAAGAAACAGTATTTTCTATTTAGACATAATTGATTTGCTAACGTAACTATGAAAGGGGTCGTTGCTGCTTAAAGGCTTGAGTTGTGGAAAACATGAAGTCGGTAATTAGTAATTTTTGTTCTTGCTAAGGCCATCGAATAAACTCAACATACTAGGTGAAAGTTGCTTTTGTATCTAACTTTACCTTAATTGATTTCGTCTGTTTAATCATTATTAGGTCATTCAAAATTTTCAGTAATAATGTTCTAAATTTATCCGAAAATCTAAAGGCAAGTATTAAGGTTAGTCAACTGGAGTAATTAGATAAAACTAACATTGTGATATAAAAGCATAACATAATATACATGCATAAACCAACAATTTGTTTGCGATTAATTTATTATTTGGAATTGGACGCATTTTTTGCCTCTAGGATAAGTGCGGAGGCCCATGTCTTTCTTAGGATCCAGTACTCATCAATGTTGGATAGATTATGGCAATCTGATGAGGTATTGTCACAATTTCTTCCATTGAAAGGAAATGTATTAACAAGCATTAGTTCAAAAAGCGACAAAAACGAATCCCATGTCGTCCAACATCGAGTAGCTGAGACAGCTCGTTGCAAAAGTTCTTGCACTCGGGAAAAAATCCGCGACCTAATCGAAAAACGTGGAAAAGCGACGAAGGTGAGAGTTCATACCATGCTTTACTACAATGATCACTACTCTTCAGATTAAAACAGTGTCGGTAATCTGTGAACGTCTCTAGCGCTGTCATAAGAGCTTGTTTATTTTCTCGCCTGCAAACTGAATGTAGTACATTTTTTTTAATATTGTTTCAGTTAAAGCCATTAAAAACTACAAATAAAAGCTGCCGAAATTATTATTAGGAACTGTGTATACACGATGAGCGTACATGTGTATAGTACTAATGTTTGTACACAATTTTACAGGAAAAAAATTCGACCTATTTTGATAGTAGCGAAATCCAGTACGCAATCGATAATGCTTTTATCAACCCACAAGAGATGGATTCAAGTGGCAGGCCACCTCTATATGATTCTAAAGACGGCTCATACATCGATAAAGGGGTATTATCCGGAGGAAAGGAAAAAGATACTCTTAAAGGGCGCAATAAAACACCTAGTTTTATCACACATTTATTTGATCATAATAAGCGTTTGAATAAGGATTTGCACCTAAATGTATAATGAAAAACTGTATAAGGACGAATTGTCCAGAAGACTTTCATGTATTCGAGATAAAAATTTATTATTTGATGATTGACAGCTCAGTACTGAATTGGCTATAAGACTTCTTTAACATATGGATATTCAAGATAATTTTGTATAGGATTTTGTATAGGATATAGGATCAACATATAATGTAGGAGTTGCTGGTTTAAAAACAACTTCAGACTGGCGAACCGTTCGATGTGGTTGCTTTTGTCAAACACTGGAAGGAGGTAATACTATCCATGACGTCACAACCTTCAGCGTCAAATGCAACTTCTAGTTCTGTCACTTCCACAAAAGCTCCATGTCATCCGTTCTCTACTGCTAAGGACATGCATGACGACGAATTGGTCAAGAATGGCAAAAGGAAAAAGCCCGAACCATCTAATTCTGCTGAGTAAGTGTATTTTAGTGGTCTTTTCCTTTCAGTTCCTATTGCTAAAACGTAGCAAATTCTTGCTTGCACAATGTGGCATGTATGACATTCGGTGTTAACCTCAAATGTGTAAGTAAGAACAATATGTGATGAGTGTGGGAAAAAACCGAAACCCAATTTTATGGGTTCAAAACCCAGGGCCTTACGTGGTCAATGTCCTTGAAACCTATTTACTAGGTAACCAAGAAAACCAGTATGCTTTTATTACGGTCTGGAGTGTTTCTTATTTTTACGAAATCCTAACCATGCTAACGTGTAGTTGATTTAATCGTTGATCTATTAAATGTACGTCATTACGGAAGAAGCATGAGTGAAATCACACAGTTGTACAATCCAAATACCAAAGCACTCATAATTTCCTAAATTTAAGCACTATTTAGCTGTTATTATAAGACGACTAAATTTTTGTACTGGATATTATTTTAAAAAGATAGTAGCCTCAACTGTTTACTGTAACCACTACAGGTGTTCGAACCAAAACTCCGACGAATTTAACGGAGCTTTGAAATGCATGGACCCGACTCTTGTCGCGGTTATTAAAAACGAGATGATGACCGTTCGGCCCCAGATAACATGGAACGACATCGCGGGACTGAAGTTTGCTAAACAAACAGTCACCGAAATGATAGTCTGGCCTCTTCTCAGACCGGACATTTTTAAAGGTAAAGCCTCCTCTATTTTTTCCACACCCTGAAACTGAAAACCGATGGAAAACTCAGAAAAAATCTGGAATCTATATAACCAGATGTCATCATTCTGGTATTAACTAGTACAAAAAAATTAAGAAAAAACATATATATTAATATTAAAATACTGACGTATATGATGATAGCCTAGCCTCATTCAGGACGATATGCTTAATAAAGAGTAAAGCTAAGAAAGAGCTGTCTCTGTCAAACTGGTCAGGTGTTCGTGAACCTCCAAAAGGTCTTCTTCTGTTTGGACCTCCTGGAACAGGCAAAACGTTAATCGGAAAATGTATAGCAGCTCAGGCCAACGCCACGTTCTTCTCAATTTCGGCTTCATCGCTCACTTCTAAATGGGTCTGTATTTAGGTCTGGTTTGCATTTTTTCTAAACCGAAGATCCTCCTCAAGAAAATCTGATTTTTGTCACCTGTACATTTAAATGTTGTTAGGAACCAACTCGAAATTGTGAATTATATTTAGTGTGTAATTATATTAACTATCACGCGGTTTATATTTCTCTACAATTTTATAATACATGTTACTCTTTATGGTCTTTATATTAGACTTAATCTCTCCATTTAATGGAATTCGTTAAATGGTTATCAACAGTCTCTCCACAGGCGTTACATGAAAATTATTTGTACTCACTTGTGATCTTCTCGGAGACTCGCTAAGACTTAAGAAATATTTAATGAACATTTTGCAAATATTTTTTTCTTGATTATATTTAGGTTGGTGACGGGGAAAAGTTAGTCCGTACACTTTTTGCTGTGGCACGGGTTCATCAACCATCGGTTGTCTTCGTCGACGAAATAGATTCTCTTCTCTCACAGAGGTCATCAAGTGAACATGAATCTTCCCGGAAGATAAAAACGGAGTTCCTTGTTCAGATGGATGGAGCTCATACACATAAGGAAACTAACCGAGTACTCATTATTGGGGCGACTAACAGGTAAGATAAATGCTAAATTTCACCTCAAAGAATTCCTCTCTGAATTCCCTTTCGTAGACGCACTTAATTGCTCTACGGCGGCTGGACATTAATAGAACTAAAATAATCTTCAAGGGCTATCAAGCCCTAAACGTCTATTCTAACATTTCACTGTATAGTAAAATGCATCTGCGCATAAGCTTCGATATGGGTCATTTTATAATGTGTTTACACAGACCGCAAGAACTCGACGAAGCCGCACGACGACGTATGGTAAAACGTATCTACATCCCTCTACCGACTACGAAAGCGCGCCGACTTATCGCGCAAAAATTGCTTTCAAGCATCGATCATTCAATAAACGACGCCGAGCTAGACGTTATTGCACAGCGGACAAACGGTACGTTCGTAATTTTAATTTTTAATTAGAGTCAGCCGGAGCACTAATCACATGATGAATAGAATTTGTATACTTAATAATATTAAAGTCTAGTACAAGTTTAAATTGCGAACCGTAAATACTAACCATTTTAAAATAATATTTTATAATATATATAATAATAAAAACAATTAAATAAATAATAACCGTAACGAAACATCTTAGTTCTACTTCTACATATATATATATCCATACATTGTTCTCTATCATGTTGAGCGTTTACGTAGATTTTTAATTTATCTAACTCTGTGAAAGCTCTCCAGTAAATCATTTTAGATGGATGCACAATACTGCCGTATATCCATAATGGTCAGAACAAATATTATCATTAACTAAGTGAATGGCAACAAATTAAAACTGCAACTAACTCAGGCTTTACCACCCATCATAAATTCAAATATATCTATCATAAATCTAGACTTATCATAAATCAAAAATATTTATTATAAATATTATAAAAAAGATTTAGAAAAGACAATTGTGACCTACCATCCAACTCCTTAAGTACTGTTTAGGTATATAAATGCTATTGTAAAACCTATTATAAAAAGCAATATGCAAAAAAATGATTTCTAAAATTATCAGTTAATTTACCACCACCATTTACGTTTGAAAAGTCATAATTTCCGAATATTTTTTTAATATTTATGTACAGTGAAGTACATTCACAGAAAGTTAATTTTTCAAGGCATTACTTTAATAACGTGACTATACTACCTTTCCATTGGGGCGTCGTAAATTAATGAATGTACATATCGTGCCACCCCAAATATTTCTAAGGAGATTGTAGCGTTTTACTAAAATGACTCAGCAAAACGATCACAGGAAAGCAAGCGTCCTTTGTGTTACATCCGCATATATAAGTACACACACGCACGTACAGAGGTTTCACTTTAAAATTTTCCCTTTCCACGTCAAATGTTTGACCTGTCGCAAACAAACTTACTCAATATAACGCACTGAGCTTCGAGGATATTCTATGCCGCTAGTGTTCTAGACCGTAAAACTCTCGCCACAACCACAGGTGCCTTTAGCATTAGGATTGTGGAAGATGAACTCTGACGCGATTTTACTTTCGACAAAGTCCATTTCGGTGCCCAGAAGTGATAGCTGCGCTCTGGCATCAATCAAGATACGCACGCCGTCCTAGAAAATTACAAATAAACAAAGGAAGCTCGCTTGTCCTAGAGAGTTCAACGATTTCGGTTGAGCTATACAGTAAGTGATCTACGTTGACATTAGGTTTTTTTTTTTTGACTCAGTTACACTCCATGCTACCGCATCTTATTTTCCTTTAATACTACTTTACTGAAAAACAGCTGTTCACGTTACACTGTCGAATTTACGAAGTTAGGGGGCAAGCAGCCTTTCCTTGACAAACATCTGAGCAACAAATTTAATTTATACATTACTCTAGGAAAACGAATCCCCTCCATTATTACGCGTTGCAAGCATCTTTAACTTATAAAGAAACGAGCAAAAAAGAATACCTGTTTAACTTCCTCATCGAATTTTGCCTTCTGTTTCGCAAATTCTATGACGTAGCTCATCCCACTGCATCCACGTTGTTTGAGACCAATTTTTAGCCCAATGGCATCCGGTTCTTTGGCTAGCAACTCCTGTGATAACTCCATTGTTAATAATTATATGCACAAAATATATTACCTCAAGTAGAATTTTGTATTTGTATATATCAGTTAGTTCCAGATATCTTTTCAGCTCTTAATTCAGTTACCATTGGTAATATACCCTTGAATGCTAATGAATGTTTAATGACTAGAAAAAATCATTTGAAGTATATTATTACAATGGTACAAAATTAAAAAAAACAAAACCAGAAAATTATTGGCTAGCCCATTCATTCGAAGCAGTTGACTATTATCTTTTTTGTACAAGTCTATGTCTTCACCTTAACACGGCTGACAGCCGCTGGTGTCAACGTAAGGGCGGCTCGAGTTGGTCGTAATGGCTTTGAGGTCGGCCGAATCGAAGTTGTGATTTTCACACTGGCGCGCAGAAGTGCACCCAGGCGTGGCATTCTATATCAAACAAATAATTGAAAAAAAAATGCAACATTCGAAATGTAGCATTTTCCCACACTATAGGCTACTTCGAATGATCAGTAACTATCACGCATTACACAAAACATTGTAGCAGCATATAATCATCCATTAGAAAAGAGTGGTTCATTCAACTCGTCACAATTCTAGGACGATACTTTTTTGAAGTTAATATTACCGACCGTCGTAAACCAAATGCTGGATTTGTAAATATCAGGCCTTGGCACTACTATCAGGGTAAAAAGACCTCAGGCAGGTATCACCTGTACATAACGTAACTGTCTGACGAAACGATGTAAATACAGTCATTACGCAGCCAGTAATGGCTTTCAAATAGACGGTGTCTGCACCACAGCTCCGTGCGCGAAGCGTGCAAAGGAGCGTCGAAGACACCCTACAGTACATTAGGAACTAACTCAAAACACTGCCCGGATTCCGCGAGGATAAATTATTCCTAAAAACTTTTTCTTTCCTAAACCAACCTTTTTGCAGAATGAATCCTTGGATGCAAAAACAAATCACTTTAATTATGCGTGACACATTTAAATTATGAATTTTTCCATCCCGATTTTAAAAAGTCTAATGACGACGGGTCACTTTACGTTGAGTCTAGAGCTTAATGCTGTTTAATTCTAGAACGAGCTGACGGCAAGCAAAGATCAGTGTTGTGATGAGATGGAAAGCATTCATCCATTCAATAAAGGATTTTCGAGCGTAACGCAGCTAATACTTTGAAATTTTATGTATACAAATTCTCGAAGACTCAATTGTTTAGCAAAAAGTCTTACAAATTTCTTGTCAAATATACATATAATGACAACCCTAGTTTGACCTGTTTATTTTTTGTTTACGTTCTTTTTCTGTATTTGATGAGAAAGGGTTGAATTACCTAAACAGGTGCCATTTCGATCTCATTGTGTTTGGCAACTCCTATCACCTAGAGAATCCGCAACCGTTTTCAACTCCCACTATATTATTAGATTAGATAAACGACCAACAACACATCTGTTTCTTCTACTAGACGTTCTTATCAAATAAAAATTAAAAATTCCATTACCTTCTATAGATGCGTACGCTAGAGTTGAGCTTGTGACTTAATTTTTGTTTCGAACTGAGCAACGTAATGCAATAGTGGTTTCGCCCTTCATCGTAACATTTACTGATTAAATATACTCATAAATACGTTAAAAACAAGGTATAATGCATCTCCCAAAGAGAAGACACCTTTTTTATTGTTAGTCTTCTTCCAAAAATTTTTTGAGTGTTTATCTAGTGAAAAGATTAGCTTTTTTAGTTGATTGCGCCAAGATGGAAGTCATCAGGACGGAGGAAGTAACTCAGCAATGTTGAGACAACAGAGATTAATGTGCAGAACCTGACTGCGCAATCATATACTGATGAATGTGAAGTTTAACTACTGAAGTGCAATACACAATGTCTGTAACAAGTGGAGGTCCAATCCCAGGGCCGAATTTTCGTGAAGACGAACTGCAAGCGGAGCGCGGCGAGGAAATTGTGCAACTTCTCTTAGCTGCAGGTTATTTTCGAGCGCGAATCAAAGGGCTATCACTGTTCGACAAAATCGTTGGTGGGCTCGTCTGGTGCATTCAGGTGAGTAGAGCGTCGAAAAATGATAGTGAACTATTCAAAAGTGGTAGATCTACTCAGTTATACCAAGCAAAGAATATGCTAGCATAGCAAGCTAACTTTAATAAGCACGTGATAACCCTAACGGATCCGTTTAGCTATTTTCTAGTAGTAAAAGTACTCGTATTAGTATTTAAAATATACCCGTTGTTGTTAATCATATAAGTGCGTATTAGGGCCCGCATATTTGGTTTATTAAATAGATACAATCAGTGACTCATCTGTGCAAATTCTAGGTGTGTGCAATGGATATCGAAGTCGAGCTTTTGTTCAATGAGAACTGGAATATTGGCACGAAGATTGCACTAACAGAGAAAATTGTACGTGCACTGAAAGCACTTCAGTGTCCGCACCCAATTGAGCCGCATCAGATTCAGGGAAGCGATCATATCCACGTATTTCCTGTGGTCCAATGGCTTGTCAAGCGTGCTCTCGAAACGCGTGAGCAAAACGCACAGTATTATGCGCGCTTCGCGCAATACCAGCTTGAAAAAAACTATGGAGTTTCACCCGGAAGTCGGCCTAAATCAGTGGAGGTATATAGACCGGTTCGAGCTTATCGGCATAATGCACCCAACAGTCTTAGTCGCGAACTATTACTCGATGCTGTGCTGCTCGAGTATTCGCAGAAAGGTGCAGCCAGTGTACATGATGAGGAGCGGAGCTCAGCTATTGTTGGTGATATGAGATCCGTCGAGTTAGCGGATGGAACTACCAGTGGTGTCGAAGGCGGTAACGAAAAAATGAAAGAGCTTGTAGAACGACGTCAGAACGAAATTGCCGAAGGAGTAAACGAATGGCGAGAACTCCGCGGTAACGAAGAGGACGAAATGGAAAAACGGAAGCATAGAGTTATTAAAGAGATCGGTTGGCGGGAACGGCGGCTGGAAGATCTGCGGGAAAAGGTACGAGAACGCCGTGAAGATGTTAAAACCGCTCGTCGAAAAATCAAAGAGGCCCGAGAAGAGGCCGAACGAATGAGAGCGTTAAAGGAAAAAGAAGATCAAGAGGAAGTGTTTCCCGGAGTCTGTGAACTTCTCCAGGTTCTAGATGAGATGAAAAAGCAGGAAGGCGAATTTAAGAGGGAATGCCGACGAGAACTGGAAAGACTACAGCAGATGGTTGCAGAAGAACAACGCCAGGGCGACAACGGCATCAGCGAGTCGCAGGCGCGCGACGAGAAAGTTGAGGAGGAGTTTGCACAGGTGTCCCAAATGAAAGTGAAAATTGCCAAGCTCAACAGGCAAGTGGGGAAACTGCAGCGCACCATTGATCAAATTCCCACGCGCTCTGAGCTCGGCCAGTTTCAGAGGCGGTTTTTGGAACTACATCAGCAGGTGGCCGATGTGCATAGGGAAACGAAACAGTACTACACGATGTTTAACACAATGAGCGACTTGTGTGCCTATCTCGAAAAAGAGATAGGGCTACTCAACTCTATTCAGGATAACTTCTCACAGGCCATGGACTCGTCTACAAGTAGGGAGATGTTCCTGAGTCAAGTCGAAGCCTCAGTTCAGGGTATTCGACAGAATCGAGTTAAAACAGAAAAGCGCCGACACGAGGCTAAAATGGAACGTGATAAACTACAGTATGAATATCTTCGATTGGTGGAGAAGCAACGGTTGTACGTAAAAATGGTTGCAGATTTCAAAGAGGAGCTTAGACGGAACCAAGCACTCATGGCTTTGAAAAGTCAGCAGTCATCTACCGAATAAATAAATTAGCGATTTCAGCAATTAGAGTAGTCGTTGTACTTGAAAGCAAGCATTTACAAGCATAAATCAGACTTAAATTAATCGTGACAAGTTATGGGGTACTTTCATTTCCATGGATTAGCAAGCAGTAAACTATCTTCGTAAGCTATTTTAATTTGAAATTTGTGTCTATAAAAAATAAATTAGTGGCCGTTGGTATGTTGAACACTGCAACTGAGCAGTTTTGACAGTAGGGTGAGAAAAATTTAAAAAAACAATTGAGTGAGCAAAATATAGTTAATTCACATATAAACATTAATGCTTGGTCAAAATAGTACACAATACTGAAGAATTCACAAGCCAAACAAAAGCATGTGTGCGTCGCGTACTAGTCAGCATGATTCTGTGTGTTATGTAAAATGATGATGTGGAATATCCACTTAAATAATTAGCGTAGATTTTACACTTAAATAAATAGAAAAAAAAAAGAAGGATATCAGTGTTTAATACGGAATTATCTTTATTCAGAAAAAGTAACATATATATATATATATATATATATATATATATATATATATATATATATATATATATCATTCACGCTGGCTTTCATAAAAAGGTTGTGTTCTTCAAATATTTACTATGTTTTAGCAAACAGATTTGATTGCTGACGAAGTAAGTGTAAATAGTGGATTTTTCCTATTCAGAGCACATCTATATTCTATATAGCTGTTAATTTCACCGACGATTAAAGCGTCTTCACTAACAGTGGTAAATTTTAGCACCTCGATGCTTTCTCTTTTTTTACCTAAACGTTATTGACTGCGGTCGGCAAAAATACACACTGCAAATACACAGCAGCACCGATATATGATTTTTAATTCAAAGCAATACACGATTGCATTACTATTGTGTGCTTCTATGGGAAGTGTCTATCAAGTGCAGAATATTATCACAGTATGCGTTTAGTAAATAATATCGTCGTCGTATGTCGAAGGTTGCGACTCAATACTTTAGCTAATGCTGTCTATAGAAAATATTAGTCCTTGCATGTACCCATGAATTTGGTGATAATGTAGAGCATAATTTCGTCAGCTCCTCCAGCAATTGATAGCAAACGTGAGTCTCTCCATGCACGTGAAATAGACATTTCGTGAGTGTAACCCATTCCTCCATGGAACTGGAGGCACGCATCTGTGACGGCTCGTGCTGTCCGAGCTGCAGAATGACGAGACAATGTTTTGATTAGAGATGATTAAATACGAGTTTCGAAAACACAACTGACATTTCTAAATTTAGAATATTACGTCCCCATTACGTAATCACCGTTAAGCTTAGACTAGATAGCAAAGCACCTATACCCGATGTATCGTTGGTTTAGCTACTCATAGGGCATTGCTTTTCGCTTTGAAATGAATTGGTTTTTATACTTGTGAACTGCTAGTAAGGTGAACTTTAAAGTTCATACACATTGCCCAGTTTTGCCGTGCCAAGGTGCCAATCGAAATAAGAAAAATTATTTTGATTTTAGGCTAATTGTATTTTGACTGACCGGCTTTAAGTTTGGCCATTGAGGCAAGTAGCGTCGTGTCTTCGCCTTCGACCATTTTTTCTACTGCTCGATAGCAAATAGAGCGGACTGCTTCGATTTCAGTTTTAAGTTCAGCCAGAACGAACTGGATGTGCTGTTTATCAAGTAAGGTGCCTTTAAATGCCTGGAATCATATAGTCAAAAAAGGAAACATAAAAAAAAATTGCGATAAATCTATTCGAGCAAAAACAAAAACTTGAACAAAATATTATTCTTCAGGATGTCAAAAAACCTAAAATGATTAGCTATATTGTATTTTATATTACTGTTCTATTGTTAAAAACTAGCAAGGATAGAAATTTTCTAAAATTGAAACTGGCGAATGTACCTTTCGATTCCGGAGGTACTCGATCGTTTCTTCAAGGACCAAATCCATAGAACTTGGCACAAGGAGAGCTGCCGCAAGTCGCTCATCTTGAAACTGCATCATTTGATAGAGAAAACCTTTGCCTTCCTCACCTGAAATATCAGGACAAAGCGTATTTCATATTCCGGTACCTGCCTATGTTCTGCGTACATATATTGCCTTTACAGAGAAAGAGAGGCCAAATTGCGTCTTTTTTTGTTACCCCTATGAGAGGAAGATACGCCTGCAGACATGCTAAACACGTTTCGGATACGTATATGGTTGGGTTCATCTCTTGCCATCCTAAGATACTGTAAAAAGGGATTGCTAAAACCCTTAGAATCGTTATTATTATCGTTTTTTTTCCAGGACCGCATTTTGATTATTTAGAATCAATATGCCTGCTCAAGCTGGCGCTATTTCATAACGCTAGAAAAAGAAAAACACATGTGTTATTCAAACTAAGACGTACTTATAAGCTGCAAAGCAAGTAACAGCTAATAAAGGGTGAATGTTGCGTACCGATAATATTAGATGCTGGGACGCGAACGTCCTCAAAGAAGATTTGAGCTGTATCCGAACTCCAATGGCCAATTTTTTTTATATTTTTAGCAACAGTGATGCCCTCTAGGTTCATAGGAACGCAAATGAGCGATTTATTTTTGTGCGGCGCTCCCTCGCGTGTGTTAGCCAACATGCACATCCAATCAGCCTAAAAATGAGACACAGATATCTTCAGAGGAAAGAGTAACGGAGTCGATAACGACTCGTTATGTGTCTTGGCATGCTCAAACGGCATGTATATATTTTTACGGTTGTGACTTCGCGTGCAATAATGTATGTCAATATTACCTTTTTTTCTAATGCTAACTAAAACCCTATTTAGTCTGTTGAAACAGCTCGGCGCTGTAAAAAGTAGAAGTTACATCCAATACTTTAAAGGTATGGTCCGCAAGGTATAAGTGAAATACCACTTTTATATGCTGGGATGAAATTTTGCTATCGAGCAGAATAGATACCAAAAATAGCTTGCCTGCGCTCCGTTCGTGATCCACATTTTCGTTCCATTAATAATGATATCATCTCCTTTTTTTACGGCCGTTGTTTTGAGACCGGTCACGTCACTGCCTGCATCCGGTTCGCTGACACCCACACAGCCAAGCATGTCCCCCGAAATTGAGGGAGCCAGAAATTGTTTTTTCAGTTCATCCGAACCAAATCGTATAAGGGCTGGTGTACACATATCCGTGTGTACTGATACACCTGCGAAGACAAGTTCTAATTGTAGTAATTGCGCGAATTCGAGAACAAGGACTTCATTTTAGTAATAAATAGCTTCGAGCATCTTTACCTGTTTCAAGGGAAAGCGGATTTAAATCCACCCATTGTAGCTACAAGTGCATATTATTATTATTGTTGTTATTATTACAAGAACTATACAACAAGAAGCCAAAACAGTCAAATGCGTTTTTTATTGCCCATGACTTGATGACGTGCCGTATAAATATCTTATCAAGAAATGGTACGATACAAAAAATGCAATAAAGCTATTATCTTAAGCCTGCTGCTGATGACTTTTACTATTTTGTTATAAGATAATAACCGGAGCCTTACCACTAACTACACCGCCAGCCCTGCACATGCCGAGTTCCTCCAGAAACGGCACGTTGTAACTGTAGTCAAGTCCAAGCCCCCCATATTCTGTGGGCTTTGTAATGCCCAAAGCACCGATACTGGCTAGTTTCTTCAGAACAAATTTTTTATCATACATACCCTATAATATAAAAATAAAAAATTAACTGGAGGAAGCTATATTGCATTTCCTTTTGCTTGATTACTTATAAAAACGCATGATGATTAATATATATGAATCACATCATAGCTTTGCTTGGTGCTGTGAAGCCTCAACGACAGTAGCGGATGTAAAGGGGCTTAGATTGAACCGAGCGATAAGCTTGCTGGTCTATACCTTTTCCTCCCACTCATCAAGGCGTGGATTAATTTCATTTTCTACCACTTTTCTAACTGAGTCTCTCAATTGTTCGTGTTCATTTGTCGCAAACGATAAGTATCGAGCTCCAATTTCGATGGTAGCCGTGTTCTGCGCTCCATAGCTCCATAGCTGCCTAGCGACAGTGCGACATGACAAAGCCAGCATTGCGTCGACCTAATGAGAAAGAGAAATAACAGATATATTAATTATTAAATGGCAAATTAGACGCATGGAAATAACACATTCTAATAAATATGAATTTATTACCGATTTTGTCGTTAATTTTCTGCTGATGGTAGCATCTGACAACATCTTTGCTCTTACAGTAATACCGCGGTGATCGCAGATGTACGAACGCAGCAATAATTTTTAAAATGCAATGCACTGAACTCAAAACTTGTCTTTGTATCCTGTTAGTAACAATTTTATTCTGGCTAACAGAATAACTAGCTTAACTCTGTTTCGTCCACATGTATCTTCATATACCTTATTTATGAATGTTCCAAAATAAAATCTGATCCTTATACAGCGAAATGCAGTGAAACAAAAACGGAAGAAACAACAAAAAAAAAATAATAAATCTGTCATACTTTCATTACAAGACTCAAAGTTTAATTCCCCTATTAACGGAATATTTCAAATTTGAAAAGAAACTTCATTCGTGCATGGACCTATTGTTGTAACGAAGGAATAAATTTTCAGAGGCCAAACTTAAAGCTTGTATATATATATATATATATATATATATATATATATATATATAATTTTCTCTCTCCTTGTTATGTCAACATCACTCTCTCGTTTTCCATTGTTTTTCGCCATCTCACAAGACGCTTCACGAAGTTGCAATAACTTCTTTTCGACTAATTTCTTGTATGGGCTTATGTAAAACTGACAGCTACAACTGAGCTTAACGTGCTACATATGTCATACTCAAAGAATAACGTCGATTTCCACTTCGTAGGAGTAATACTTACCTAGCTAATGAATAACGAACACACACAGAGAGATAGAAGGAATTAAACAACTCTTTGCTTACGTCGTCACCTCCTTATAGCCTTGAGTACAATGCTTCCTTAATTATAAGTAGCTTAACTATAACTTGTATTCTGTTTCTTGTAGCACTTTTTACTTGTATTGCTTTTTGGGTAGTAACACGAATCTTAGAAGGCCAATATCCCGCTAGTTCCGTCCTCTAGTTAATTTCAGTATTCTCACTTTGACTATCGAAAGTTTATTTGCACGTTGTTGTATACGCAACCGACATCAGCTGACAGCGTCGCTAAAATTCCTCCGCTTCTATGACGTCTTTCGCCCTATTTACCCTTTCCCGCAACGCTGCTATCGCTGCCGATTGTTGAGCCAATTGCACTAGTCAAGCATAGTGATTGTCATTCTTTGTACGACCATGCGAACGTTTGAGACAAGTTTTACTGGCTTCGAGAACTGAGTTTTTCATGATATGAGGTTGGAACCTCTGGAAATTGACTACGGACATCAATGCTAGCAAGAAAACTAAGGATGTCTGGAGGTGATTGACACACTCATTATAAAATACCTCTGTATATGAAACGGGATATTTTTATCATTCATCCAAGACTTTTTAAGAACAACAACGATTTGATATACTATCGCGTACAATACAAACTAGAAATATGAATATCCTAAAACCTTGAAAATAGTGCATGAAATAAGTACCGGTAATTTCTATATTGATACGTTTGAAGAAGCTGTCTATCCGAATATATGTATTTACCAAAGTAACAGGCAGAAATTGTTCATTCACAGGGTACTCGGGTGCTGATGTCGATAACCTCTGCCGCGAAGCAGCTATGATGCCCGTTCGACAGCTGCACGACGATTCTTCTGACCTCAGTTCACTCACCTTAGATAACGTAACACAAGCTATGTCCATACTTCCTCATGATTTATTCCTTTACCCTGATCTTCATCCAGTAAAAAACGAATTCATTTCGGCACTCTTATTTTATCAATCTGTTTCTGGGAAGGCTTTGTAGAAGCAAGACTTCAAGCTGCTGAAAAAGTTCAGTTGAGCAGAAGTTTCCATATAATGAAACTTCATGCATATACAATACTGGGCAGTTCATGCTTACGACCTGGGACTAGAGCAAAACGGTAGATTCATGTGCTTTTAGTTGCTCTAGCGTTTTCGCCATAATGAGTGAATTTATCCCAAAATTCATGTTAACTCGCACTCTGTAAACACAACTTGTGGAAATGGCGTACGTGTATTTGCAGATACTTCCTGCGATCTTCTAAACGGTACAGATTTTGCATGCGCTGGCTTGTCTGGCCATGCGTTCTATAATTTATAATGAATACATTATAAATTTATTTTAAAAAGCAGGAATCCTTTCTGACACAGGTATATATCTCTACAATTAGAATACTAATTGTAGAGATATATACCTGTGTCAGAAAGGATTCCTGCTTTTTAAAATCCAGTTTAAATTTCATTGTTCATTATTTAACTACATATCAATTTTTGAGGTTACCCCTGGGTCGGATAAATGAATTAGAACCTTTACTGCAGCTTTGAAGTATCTCAGCGAAGTTTTCTTTGAGAGAATAGATAGCAGGACAATTAAAAGATCAGTTTTCTCAATTAGCGCTGCAGAAAACGGATCGTGCTGTTTCAGTCGAACGATTTTCTCCGAAATGGCTATCTAGAATAACAGATACGTATAAAGACTGGTTGTTTAGTTCCTGAAATTAAAGATTCACATTGTTATCTACAGATTCGTCCCGTTGTACTAGGCGACTTCTTGGCGGCTCTTCGGATTATACGGCCATCAGTGAGTGAGTCCTGTCTCGCCGATTACGAGAAATGGAACCAGCAGTTTGGTTGTTGCGTTTACACTGAAGAATCGAACGACCCCGGGAATAGCGCAGAACCTGTTACCGACAGCTAAGCCGCCGACCCACCAGTCTTCGCATAGTATGGCACTTATGTTAGATGGGATTCTAGCAGGATACCGGATTCCATAACATGCTTAGATATTTGTACGCGACTGGTTCTGGCTGTATATCCTCTTGCAGAGCTAAACTTCTCTTGACTACATCGTTGCTCAGATTAGCTCGCGGATCGGTAATAGCACCTATCCATTGCAACCTATTTCGCTACAGAAGCTTACTTATGGCATGGCACAATGGGTCTGAGAAATCAATAGAAAATTGATTTTTTATGAAATCTTCATAAATGCATACGTCGCTGTTAAGGCTTTTTCTGGTGAATTACAAATTACATAACTTAGTCTTATCTCAATGGAAAGACGACCGCAGGGCTAATAAATCTATGATGGAAATAAGAGGCCGAACTGTGTGTCCCTGTTTGTCTAAATTCTCTTTTATTACTTAAATACCTTGTTCATAAAGTATATACGTTCACACAGCTTACCCCCAACACGTGTATTTATAAACTAGGTGAAATAAAAATGGTGCCCCCTCCCCCCCGGGTGGGTCACGGGCCGTCGCGAAAGGTTCCGTGGGTTCATGTTGGGTATTAACCGCTTTTAATCTGCCTCAATCGTCGCCATTTGAACGGGGAACCGCTACTCGTTCGTTAGGTATCTAGTTTATTTTAGTAGTAGCCTTTCGATATTAGGTATTTCCATTTTTGTGTGTTTCGTCGTATTTCTGTTTGTTTAAACCAAACAGGTCCATATATAAAATCGTGTATCTGTGCGCCTAATGATATTGTAATAATTAACATCATTAGGCGCACAGATACTTTTCTTGTTTCACTACATTGGCGGGCAGCATGGACATGACATTATAAGGCGAAGTTGTCTGTTCTCTGGCTTCCTCTCCCGCTCGGTCCTCCTCCCCTTGCTCTGTTCCTTCCTGTCTGGCTGTCTAGCTCTTCCTCTGTACAATTGGTTCCAATACTCGTAATACTTTTCTAGTGGATTTACGGGAGCATATATCTTTGTTTTTGTGCTTTGTTCCCTTTCCCTTAGTTCTTCTATTCTGTTACGCCTGAAAATACAAGTGCGTCGTACATTCTAAATGACATACTCAAGTGTGTCAGTGAGACAGGTAGATTCAGTCTCACCGACCGGCTCCTCTGTACGGCCATGGTCTACAAAATGTGTGCTTATAACGATGCATTTTATTTTGGCTCAGATCGTCTTTTATTTATGTAAAGCATAACTCCAGTCGAGTCCCACACGATCCGGTTTTTCCGCTATGACAACCTACTTGCCGTCGTTCCGCCCCCTATTATACAATTCCTGCCTCGCACGCGTAACTAGGAAACGATAAGTGTGCAGCATATCGTGAGCCCGTATCGAATGCACGCAGCTAAAATATTCTATACGTGCGTATCCAGGTACAATAATAAGAAATCTGATCTTGCATGGAAACACATAACACACTGGAATGCATAAGATCCCTCGAAGCCGAGAAGAATAAACATACGTCTTAGAAAACAGATAATCGGTATTATAGTAGAAACGCAGACGACATTTCCACTTTCGGTAGCATCCAGGGATTCTTTGTTTCATTATTAGACCACTTCATATATCTAGGCGTCCTGGCATTCGTCATTGGTTAATTTTCCTATAACACGAATATTATTAACATGAGTCATTTGTGTATAATAAACGAAATATATGAAAAATGACCTTCCTATTAGGGTTATGGAGGAAATTGCTTTGATTTGATGTTTTTGTCTATTGTCTTCAGAGGGATTTAAATTCCTCATGCATATATAGATATATATATATGTTCGTGTGTGTAGTTGTATGCCTGAAACGGAAAATGTATGTCATAACCGAACCATATATATTATAACTATGTCCACAGCTAAACGCGCAAATTATGAGATACTTGTATAAAATCATATTTTTTTTTCGAAAGAGTCAACACAAATTAATAGTTTAGTATGTTTCGTCGATACACTTTAGCTAGAGTCGCGTATCTGTAGAAGGCAGCAATGAAATGTTCTGCTTATTCTTATGATGTGGTCGTTTTTTCTGTCATTTTCCGTAGAACCTGTTAGTAGGTATGATCACAGGGGTAGGTTCCGTGCTCTATTCGAATCGATTTTTATCTGAAGATGATGCTCAGCTTAGCTTGCCCATCTCGAATTTACGAAACACTTCGCTGGCCGTATAGAAAATTGAGTTCAGGATACCAACGACAGTGAAAGTTCCGCCGACAATTGCACAACCCTGTCGTAACGATCCGCAGGAACATCGCCAGAGTAACATAGGCAAAGAAGGCAAAAGCAAGAGCAAAATGTTAATGCTGCATCTTAATTGTATCTTTGTCACAACCTGGTAAATTAAGCAGTAAAATTATTCAAAATGGACAAATGAAACGTTCGGGTCAGAATCAAACCGAGGAAGCTTACTTAGTAAAAATGAATTTAGAAATAGCTACGGCACGATAATAAATCGAAAATATAAAAACGAAGGAATCGTTGAATTGAAGGGGATTTTTGGTATGCATGATTTATACTGTATGACAAAAAAAACTTGTCGACTTCTATCGATTTCCCTAGAAGAAGCAAGTTGAGCCTAAATCGAATATTCGAGTCGTTTTTAAAAAACAAGTATATAGGTATTGTTTTCTCTCAACTCACGTTCGTCAAGAAGCTGTACAAAGGCTGCCCTCTTCGATGATAGCGGACGGTGATTGGACTTAAATCATATTTGAACCAGATAGCCGGGATGATACGACCCGTGATTGACATGGTTAGGTAACTCTGAAAAACGAGCCAAGTAAAGGCACAGAAATTATTATATTATTTATTATATATAGGTACAGATAAAATGATTCAGCAAGCAGCTACAAAGCACGACATTTCTTATAAGGCGGCATTAAGGGTTGTACCATTTATATAAAGACTGCAAAGCATAACTGAAGATATATGAATACTTTTTGTATTCGCTCCATAATAGTCATTTCTGAATGAGCTTTTTTAATGATAGTCGATTCCTAGTCGAAACGAAGTTGTCCCTCCAACGTGATGAACTCAGCTGAGAAATCCGCTACGGCCAATTCGAGTCTTCGATTGATCCGAACTTGATTTCGGCACATAGTCTCCAATATAGTTAACCAATAACTTTAAGCTGAAGATATCTGCATTAGTACATCGGTTGTATCCTCTATACAGAACGTATCTTGTCCTAGCACATCAAAAGGAAAACTACTAGCGTTAATTAACAGCTCACCTGTGCTGTTAATCACTAGACGTCGCTTTTTTCCTCCCCATTAGGACTGCTGCGTATATCATCGAGCGTATCTTACAACGACGGTCACAGAGATATAATGATTCTACCATTCATGAATGCCATACTTTATATTTGAGTGAGTATCTGTTTGTCTAGTATGCTTTGGTGATCATACGATGGCCCATTAAACAGAACGCGTCATTTTTTTTCGCCTATTCCACAGATACAACTCTCCAGCATTCACACATTTTAACTTGGTCTATGTGATATAATGATAAACTATTACAGAATCACATGGATAGCACAAATTAACTCTGTATCAAATTCATATCCGTACCGGCAGTACTTACGTAATATATATACTCTTGTAAGTGAATTTCCCGCTCACGAGCGGCATATTCTTCATATCATATCGGGGGAGGTGATTCAGCGAATGAAGCCAGGCATGTTTATAGGACAAGATCGGATAGCAGATTGTCGTCCTCGAAATTGTAATTCTACTTCTATACGTTTTTAGTAGTAATAGTTATTAAGTGGACTGACAGGCAGCAGGCTTTCAAAAAGCCCCTTTTTCTTTAGCTGATCTTTATAGGTTGCCTTAGTGGTGACGCTAAAGGGCGGCATTTCCGGGAGGAACACAATCATTACTGCGACGCCCTATCGCGTGGGAGGTGAAGGCTAGATTTCAGCCATGGATTCAAGGCATTCCATCGGTTACCCTTTCTCCATGGTTTCTCACCATTTTGCTTCAGTTTGCTCAGCTAACCAACCAAGTTATTGCAGGCCCTCGTAACTGCTGCCTTGTTCCCATAGAGCCTATTCCCAATTTCCTGCAGTCCTTCTGCTTTCGGCCAACAACCGAAGAAATAAGTCAGCGAATGAAACCCGTTAAGCTTGCTGGCCTCGAAAGTGTACTCAGTGAACAAGGTAGCTATTATTCCCTCTATTCAGCTTCCGTTTGGATATACTATGCGGCATACGATACAACATTATAGGAACGTGCATACTTCATAAGCTGTTGCCAGGGGGGCCTTGGGAGCCTTGGAAACCTTGGAGATGCAAGAAGAAAGGTTTGGTTGCCCAAGTAGGCAACATACGGAGAATATATATGCATTGAAATGCATACACATGCGTGGGCGCACTTTCAGAAAATGCGCCGAAGGTAAATAGGCCGATGGTGTCACCCGAACGGCAAAAAAGGTGGAGGGATAACTGTTGCTGTTCTCAACGTGAATGTCGAACAATTGGACATTAGTGGTAGAGCACCGACATCTGTGCACTTTAGTCATGTTAATGTCTTCGACCCAAGTTGCTGCAAAATGTTTTCTAGAAATTAAGCTATGATAGCAGTACGCCTTTCCATTGAAAGTTGGTCTCGGGCACGGGCAGCGGCAAATTTCAGCAGCTGACGATTCATTACCGTTTGCATTCCTAGTCTTATGTCTTAGGTCTTACTGAGGGCTATACAGTAAGATTCTTTATTCAAGTGTTTTTTACAATGGTGCACGTATGCGTAAGGCAATCATGCGATTTTTACATATTGTTCTATGACTGCTACAACAGCGCACGAAAGCATCTCGATAAGCATATATCATCTACACACGATTTTTGCCTATAACTTTTTAATAAAATATAGATTTGGTGGTCGTATCGATTGTCCTGAGAAATTGTCTTCAAGTTTGGGAGATACTTGTTCATACGTTTTGAAGTAGGTTTGTCAATCACTCTGCAAATAACGAGAATTGA